ACGATTCCAGTGTTATGGATGGTTCAATTTCTTTAATTTGTTTTTGATTTTGTTCTTTGAGCGATAGACTGGCACTGAATTCTTCATCGGTTGAGGTATCATCTGCTTCGGAGGATGAACTCGAATCATTGCTAGTCGTTGAACTGGTGGAACTTTGTCCGGTAAGAGATGGATTTTTGGGTTTCTTACGTTCCTGCACTTGTTTTTGGAATGGTGAATAATTTGTACGAAATGTTGGTAAATGTCGTATGGCAACTTGACTTATTTCAAAGGAGATGTGTTCACTTAATTCGGTCCATTTAAATGATTGATAAAAGTTCGAATAACCATCTATCATTTCCAAGTCTCTGGTGTGAACACGAAATAGTTCCTTAACAATACGATTGGAATCGGAACAGGAATATGGTAAACATTTGCGTATTTTCATTCGTACCCAATCGGTAATGAGACGAGTTTCATGTCGGGGCGACAATGGCCTGTAGGCATTGTGCATATAATAATCACTTTGCAACTCCCAAATGGGTTGGTTTTCTAAAAAAAAATTCAGTTAAATTATTAATCAAGTACATTAAATTCAAATTCTACTCACGTTTTGAATGACTTTTACTTGGGATATAATAACCCAAAAACAAATTGATGCTATGCTGCTTTTCGGTGTCATTGAAAGTATTACTGTAGTAACGACTCAGTGTCTGCATTATATCATTACCCTGTGAAGCCCATGCTGCCGTCTTACGATATGTCTTAATGCGATGTACCAATTGGGATCCACCATATTGTAATGCCAACGTGTCTCCATGTTCTTCATAGAGATTTTCCAACATTGTTACACAAACCGAGTCAAATTCCAAATTTGGAGATTTAATGAAACCCAAACGTTCCAACTGATGACCCAAAGCACATTTCCCAATAGCAAATTGCGCGGTATTTGTGCGATCCAAACAATCAACACAATTGGTACGTACAATACCCGTTTGAAATGTTAACGGCTGGCCCCGGGCCTTGAAGAACATACCATTCTGTTGGACAACAAATTCCGCAATATCAGCTAACATTTCCATTACATTACCACCACCACGACTTTTTCGTGCCATATCGAATGGGATGTATTTCATACGATGTTGTGGTGGCAGAAATTGATTCAGATAACGTATGGAATTCACCAATTCCTTTGCAATGATGTTTTCATGTTGACGTTTCTCACGTTTCTTGACCAAGTTCAGCATTATCAAGGGTGATCCATAGTGGAACAGCAAACGTTCAAAATGTCTGGCCGGTGTTTGGGCATAAGGATCGGAAATATCCAATTGTATTGGTGGTTTTGGTACCATTTTACTAATATCCTGTGACCAGTGCGATGGCACAGATCCTCTCATCTGGGTAAAGGAACACATATTGTGTCCGTCACTTACAATTTGTTCCGTTTCCACTTCATTTGCCACATCTCCACGAAAATTAGCACCGCGTTTCAAGAAACGTGTACCAGCATATCGTGTACTTCTCCTTGCAATCAAACACACATATACCCTTCTGCCATATATACTAATGCAGGATTGACTTATATAGCCATGTGTGACTTCCAATAACCAATCTCTCAGCATAATTCCCTTCATCGGCTCCAGCAGGAAAGCATTCCATACGAAACGTTTACGTGAACAACTACGATAGGCATAATCCACCCGCTCATTGTCCTTTTCCACATTATTCGTCAACGAATCCCATTCGGGTAATGGTTCATCAACTTCAATATCCACATTTGGACCAACATAACGTGGAGCCGACAGATTATATTGCAGTGTTCTTGTTAAATCATACGAATACGAAAAGTAGAAATTACTACGCAAATCAATATTCTGAAACATTTTCTTATAACGTTCCTCATAGGGATGTGGCGTTTTCAATGTGTTCGATGGTTCATTCACCTTAACCATTACCGTATCCTTTATCGTGTATATTAAATGCATACCCAAATGGGCACATGATTTCCGCTTTGTTACCAAAATCAAATAATATCCCTCCAGGAAACGAACAAAACCCAACACCCCATAGGCCGATGTAACCTTGGGTTGTCCACCCAGCGATCCCACGAAACGACGTATTTCCAAAGCATTATACTCATTGGGATTTTCATCAATGACCAGGCGATCATGTTGTGTCCTATCAATGGTCAGCAGACGAAAACGGGTCTCTCGATTGTTACTGCCCACCAAATACAAACGCTAAAATCACAATAAAAATTTATAGATAAAAAATTACAATAACAAATCACTTTATCATACCGTTCGTGTTTCATATAGTACTACTTTTTGAATAGCACTTATCAGGGGATTAAAAATTATGTTCGGATTGTTATTGTTCATGTTTGGACTGACTCAACAAATGACCAGTCCAGGCAAATAGCTTTGTGAGTACTGAGTTTCTTTTTGTGAACCGAACAAATACGAAATACGTTCCTAATGCTACGAATAGGGGGAGAGACAATAATGGCCGATGAAAATAATAATAAAGTAAAATGGACAATGAAATAATTTGTTTACGAATGTGCACAAAACAGAATAACCAATGAATGGGATATGGGAAAATGCTATCAGCGGATGATTTTAGAACAAAGCCGAGTGTTGTTGACGCCGTCAGCTAATACACTTGCGAGATTTACAAAGTTCAAATGCGTTCAAGGTGCTTTTACACAATATGTTTTATACCATCAACCATAAGGTTGAGTGTGTATTAAATTTGTCATTCAGCTCGCAACACATCGAAATATTCACAGCAGCCCCATAAAGTATATATCGACGCCTCCGAAGAATAGTATACTAAGTCTGAAAAGTGAGTTTTTCGGCAAAAGCTCTCAAAGTATGGAAGTTTCTTTAATCTTACGTGCCATGCTAAGTACATTTTTGCCTATAACTTTGGTTTGGATTTTTTTACGAAAATTTCAGAGAATTTAAATTAAGGACCGTAGTATCTAAAAACGTAAAGAACTTTAAAACATTCTAAGTCGACTTAGTATACTATGGTTCGGAGGCGTCGATATGTTATTGATCAGAATAAAATTCTATGTCGATTAATGTGTCTCCGTACGTCCCATATAACGATACCCCCAATTATTTTGTATTATGGGAATTTTTGACACGTGTTTCAAGCTTTTAGTTCCCATTTGGTATCAAGTCTTTGAAAATGAGCAATGTTAGTCCACTTTTTGGGGTAGCCCAAATATAAAGGTACCCACTAAATATTTACCGACCTACATTAATGTAACTTGTTATATTATTTTATCAATATTTGTCCACCTTTTGGGAAACTCCATATAACGGTTCACCCCAAAGATCGGTATTTTAGGGATCTTGACCAAATTGGTTGGGTGCCATTTAATTACTTTGATTTTACTTTAGTAGACAATTTCTCTTCCAAAAATGATCAAAAAATGGTTTTCGGTATTTTGGGGATCTTGGACATGTACTTCAACCAAATTAGCTGTAATTTTATATTTTAGATTCTCAGTGAGTAGAAAATTTCCCCACCAAAAATGATTAATGTGGGCTCAAGTTTCCGAGTGTATCAAATTCTTATAGGGTATCAAAACCTTCCTACCAAAAATGGTCATATAGCTCCCACTTTTTTCGGAGCATTCTTCATCCATATGTAATTCCTTATGTGTAGTTTGTGAATTTAAAGGCCCCGGAACATAAATATTCTGTTCCCGCACTTTTTAATAGTAAAAGGGGAAAAATCTCAAAATAGCTCTCAGATAATAATACAAGAAGTTCTGGAACGGAAAACCAAGACCAAGGTTTATTCATAAGGTTAGCAGGGAGGCGAATTCAAAGTCTTCATTGACTGTCAAATTTATTGTTTGAAGAATAGGTTAAGATTTATGAATAAACCTTGGAATAAAAAACCAAAAAATATTTTTATTCGAACCAAATATACGTGCACATTACTATCATTACGTTTTTTGAAAGTTATTTTAAGTTTTTATCCTGTACTGGTTTGTATTCTGCGATTAAAATGTTGACAGCTAGAAAAGACTAAGGCATGAATTCGCCTCCCTGTTAACCTTATGAATAAACCTTGCGGAAAACTATATGAAACCAAATTTTAAAATGAACACAACAGTCAATCAGATGTTGCCATTCCTGGTTACCATTTTAGCTCCGCCAAATTTCTCGAGTAATAAGGTGACAAAGAGAGAGCCATTTTGGATTGTTGTCTTTTAAAATGAGAGAAAAAAACAATATTCGCTGGACATCGTTCAGGAGCTGTTGGACATCGTCAACGTCAGATTACAGAAAAAAGGAAATACCTTATTGCGAATCATGGGATAATGTTTTGCTACGATTGAGGAGATAAATGACAAATATCAATATTGGGTAGCCCTATGTAATTTTACCTCCCGTTTTTAACCAAATTGGCTGAAATTTTATATATTGAATTTTCACTAGGTGAAAAACCTGCCTAGTATATATTATCAAATTGATATAAGTTTCGGGGTAGCACCCTTATACCGAAACACCCAATTATTCGGTATTTTTCGAAGTTAGATGACTCTAATTTGGTATATCGGGTTCTCATTGGATGGTAAATTTTACAACCTGAAATGATCACGTTTTTTGTCTAGACCCTATATAACGGACACGTTTGTCAATCGAATTGTCCATAATCATATATTACGTTGGGGAAAAAGAAAACTTTTAGGCTGGTCGTCGAAAATGTCGATAAAATCGGAGAAATTATCGAAGTGGACCGGCATGTTAGCAGTCGTAACATCGCCCAGGAGTTAAAAGTCGACCATAAAACTGTTTTAAACATTAACAGGAAAAAAGCATGGATCGAATTTCCATCTGCGAAGCCTTGACCAAGCGAAATGAGATAAACCCATTTCATAAATGGATGGTGACAGGAGATGAGAAATGGATCATGGATCATATCGTGGTCTAAGAGCACCTCAAACGGTGACCAAACCAGGATTAACGGCCAGGATGGTTCTGCTATGGATTTGGTGGGACTGGAAGGGGATTATTTATTATGAGTTGCTTCCATATGACCAAACGCTAAATTCTGATCTCTACTGTCAACAACTGGACCGTTTGAAGATGGCAATTGAACAGAAACGGACAGAATTGGCCAACAGGTGAGGTGTCGTATTCCACAAGGACAACGCTAGGCTACACACATCTGCAGTGACTCGCCAGAAACTTCGAGAGCTTGGTTCCGCCATACAGTCCGGACTTGGCACCAAGCGATTATCATCTTTTTCTTGCATTTCTTTAATGATAAAAAATTAGTATCTAGGGAGGATTGTGATTGAGAGCAGGACTTCTATGAGAGTGGCGTTATGAAGTTACCTTAAAAATGGCAACACATCATACAACAAAACGGTGCATATTTGGCCAAAATCGGATATTCCAAAGTATGTTAAATAAAGTCCTATAGTTCATATAAAAATAATGTATTTGCTTTTTCCCCAACCTAATATATTTGGTGGGTTGGCAAAAGATTATTACTAACAATTAACAATATCGGTTCATGATTAGGGTTAGTTTTAAATTTTCAAACATGTTTTTCATTCAAGTTGATTCTAATTTGATATTTTACTTGGATGACCTACCAAAAATTATAAATATCGATTGATATTTGGATGTGCCGTAGTCCCATGACATAGTCCCATGTAAAAGTCCCAAAGGATTTAAGGTATTGGGATTGAATTTGAATTGTGTTGATCGTTTTAAAACTGTCTAATGGTAACACTGCTCGACTTAGACGCTCTCATTTAGTTATGCTGCTTATGACTTGTAAAATAACCACTACATGTATTCGAGTAACCTACTATTGATGATTGTAGTACAAGTTTTTAAGGTGTCTGTTAACGATCGTAAACAATAGCTAAAAATGTGTTAAATTATTTATCCGCAAAAACTAATAATTAAAAAATTGTGTTTTATGATATTAATACTGAAAAAGATCACAAATGTCGTGTACAATAATTGTTTGCTAAAAAACCTTATTTATATCTCCTGTCTCCCTCTCACCTCGACAGGTGAATGATAAACAGATGACTATTGCAGAAAAGTTAACATGATTAACCGTGTACTACACAACCAGTGCTGTTGTTGTTGGTCTATTGTTATTAAAGAAGAGGAAGACGACAATCGATCGAAGACCAGCAACAAAATATCATTAAGTGCAATTATACAAATATTTTTGTTATAATTTTAATACAAACTACAGTTAGTCGATGCTGCTGATGATGTAAAAGTGGAGAAATTTAACAAATGAAAATTGTACAAATTGGCAAAATTATGTAAATATCAAATCGATTTGAAATTTTACAGCTAAAATACTAGAAAAAAGAAACACAAGTATGAGATGTGATTAATGAATGAATGAAATATCCAAACATCAACCAAGCAGCCATCCAGTCAGTCAGCAGCAGCACCTTTCAACATAGACATGCCAAAGCAAAACGATATGGGCATAGGCAATGTGAAAAAATCCCCATCTACGACACAACGTTGAAAAGAAACAATTTTCAATGCGCATAATCAGCAGACCATTGGTGGTGTTGTGGACCATTTGTAAAGCAAAATATTAATATTGAATGCTAGTGTATGCATGTAGTGTATGTTCGTGCGTGTGTACTAGGTGGATGCACTTGTTCATTATTTGGAGGTGGTTGTGCTATGATTATAAAGATATATAGAAAATAAAAACAAATTGTAGTGTTTTAATAATTTCCAAAACTCCATAAGGGCAGTCAGTATTTGATTGCCGTTCATTTTTATCTTGGAAATTGCAAATCTTGGTGAGCCAAAAGCTGTACATTACAAAGTAAAATCTGTGTGCAAGTGTAGATTACCCAGTGTGTCAAGATCAATTATGGAAATCATAGAAGCAAATAAAAAAGAACCGTTCAGTGTAGCATAAATTAAACAACAGCAACAACAAAGCAAAGAAAAAACTAATGCAAAATAGCAAAAGAATTAAAAACGAAGAGAAATTTTTTTCCAACCTCTAAGAAAGAAAAACCACAGCAAGGAAATTATGCAAATCGTTACGACAACAACAACAATAGTGTGTTAGTGAAACCTAAGGAATACCAACGAAACATATTAAGAATGCTTACCCTGCTGAGCGAGTGTCATTTTTGGACAACTCGTGAGGACATACGTATTAAAAATACCGATTTCGGTTGTTTACGTTATACCCGCCAGCGGGAACTACAACAATTACCAGCCAATGATTTGTATGCCGAGGCAAAAAGGGATTATATTGAGAGGCGGAATGGAGTGGCCGTCTTGAAAAGTTCACGCAAAGCCATTGGTCGCCTGAAAGATAATCTTAAACGTTTAGAAGAACTTTTACGTACCCAACATAAAGTCGTCCATATTCATTGGCCCGAAGATTCGCATGTACTGCTGTTGTTTGCCAATGGCATAATCGCACATATATGTATTGATGCATTTACCGGTGACATATCCCGTATGGTGTATGAGAAATATTTAGTTGGTAAATTGGCAGCTGAAACAATTACAGATGGTAAGTGCCAAATTTAAAATATCTATATTTTCTAATTTATTAAAGAAGCAAGTTTGTGTCTTAAGTCTTTTGTTATAATACATAAAGTGTGTTAGTTTGTTTCTTAAATCTTTTGTTTTATTGCATTCCTTGTCCCGAAGTTTTAATACAGATTTTTCATACAAATCTTTACCCTTATAGCGAACTTTTCTTATAACAAACCTTCTGATAAAAACGTAACAAGGAAAAACTTTTTGACAGCGATTTTATATTCGGAAAGTCTCAATCTCAATAAAACATTTATCATTAAAAATTATTGATTTTTTTACAAGTAACACTAATTAAAACAATATAGGTATATTTTTCAAGTAGTTCAAAAATAAACTATGATAATATGGGTCCAATTTTTAATCGGGTGAGCTTAGAAATACGAATATTCTCCAACATGAGAAAATCCAAAGTCCGCAATTTTTCATTAAAAATGTGATTTAGAAGTCTAGACAGTGTTGATATCAGGGCTTAAAAATAACTTATGGTCCATTGGCGTATTGTATTGAAAAATTAGTAGATTTAGATCCATGGTTATAAGGATATACTTCTTCAAATTCAATATTTCCTGAGATATGGGTATCTAAAGTTCCGCTACAATCCTTGTCTTTTCCCGTGGCTTTTACAATTCACTAAGCCGATTGGCACCAATTTTTAATCATTTGAATGACCTCTTTTGGAAAAAGTAATATAATTAAAAGGAGATTATGTTGCTTAGCCGATTTTGGTATCTGTCCATAGGACAGAGCCTTAATCTCCAAAAACACCCAATTATAATTAAAAATCTCTTAAGTTTATGAGCGGTCGCAGACATTCGCTAAATTTTGGACAGAGAACATATGAAGGCATCGATTGGTGCTATAACAATTAAAAAATCCTCTGACACTGCTTGGCACTAGGTTCTGAAAATCACAACCTATGCTAAATTTCACTTCATTCCGGCAGATTTGGAGTCGTTTGCGTACAATGGGATAAATTTATGTACATCGATTTATATATACACTTAATATATATTATTTGGTATGCCGCACTTTTCAAAATTTATCTCAATGAGATACCCGTTCGAAATATGTCTGCATCTGCACAAATTTCAAAAAGAAGCCATACCACCATTCTAGTCTCAATTTAATTCGTTGTGCAAAATTTCCTGTCAATATAAAAGGACCTTGGTGCACTATTTACCTAAAATCGGACGAAAATATATATTGGAGCTATATCGAAATCTGAACCGATTTTCCTGAAAATCACCAAACATCACTCTGGACTCAATTTTGTACACTATGTCAAATTTCTTGCAACTCCAAGGATATTTGGTGCACTATTTACCTAAAATCGGACGAAAATATGTATGGGAGCTTCATCGAAATCTGAACCGATTTTCCCAAATCTCACCATTCATCATTATATACTCAATTCATTACACTATGCCAATTTCGTGCAAATCGAAGGATATAAAGGGACTTTGGTGCACTATTTACCTAAAATCGGACGAAAATATATATGGGGCTATATCTAAATCTGAACCGATTTCCACGAAATTTTACACACATCGTTCTCGACTTAATTCAGTACGATATGTCAAATTTCATGCAAATCGAAAGAAATATAGGGACTTTGGTACTCCATTTCTATTAAATCGGACGAAAATATATATGGGAGCTATATCTAAATCTGAACCGATTTTCACGAAACTTTACACACATCACTCTAGTCTTAATTTAGTACGCTATGCCAAATTTCGTGCAAATCGAAAGATATATAGGTACTTTAAAGTCTTAAATCGGACGAACATTTATATGGGAGCTATATCTAAATCTGAACCGATTTTTCCCAAATTCAATAGGGTTCGTCCTTGGGCCAAATGAATAAGCTGTGCGAAATGTCATCCAATACTAATAAAAAATGCGACCTGTTTACAATTTAACATGGACAGGCAGACGGACGGACATACATAAATCGACATAAAAAGTAATTCTATGCATATTCTCAAAAGGAACCATGCGTCTAACTCGTTTCCTTTTGCCTGTTACAAACATATGCACGAAGACATAATACCCTGCACCACAGTGTGGTTATAAAAATCGTGTTTAAATTAACCTTAGACCTGATAGATCCAGTTATAAGAATCAATACCTCTCTGTGTTCACAACGATTTTAAACAAATTCTACCATCTTCCAAACATTATTGAAATATTCGAATTAATGTCCTATCCCAATTTTTCTAGCCGGGTTCTCACTTGAATAGAGTGCTAAGATTCCCTTTTTTGTTCAATACTCTATTTAAAATTTCCATTCAAAACTTGTCGAAGGAAAATCGGAGGTTTTCACTAATTGGTGAAGAGAACTACTTTTGTTTTTGGCGGGATTTACAAAATGACTATTGTCGTAGTCCAACTCAACAGTATTACCATATCGGACATGTTTGGTAAAAATCAACCAAATATGAATAAATTGAAATATTTATCAAATTTACCATTTCTCCATAAATTTGATATGATGTGATTTTGGAGCATCTATGGCATTATATATTGTTTGTGTGCTATTAAAGATCTTTTATAACCGACTCATCATTTGCGATGTATTTAGACTGATTCTAAATCTTCTGATTCTATACTTTAATTTGTAGTAACCGAAAATGAAAACTGAACCTCGACACATTAGAAATCATTTTAAATATGTTTTATCCTATTGGGAAAGAATCCATTCAATTCCCCTTTACAATTTCATACAGCGTAACGTTAACGTAAATTTGGAACAACCTTTTACCTGATTCTGTTACTAATTTTTTATATGGATAAAAAAATTCTATGTGATACCACTTACAATTGCTACTCCCTGTATTTATGGACAAAAAGATGAAAAAAGAATACTAATTCTCCTGTTCCAACTATCAAGCACTTCGTTCTCAAAACCTTGCCATCATTGAAAATAATATTTATTACCACACTGCGAACATAATATTTCTTCGCTATATATTTAATCCAATAGTTAATTTTGCCTAATCTATCATTGGATTAGTGAGATTTAAATTTTAAATTTAATTCATTAGAAGCCCAAAAATTCCCATCTTAAAATATTTTGTTATACGTTTATGTTAAAACGTATGTTTGTTTGAATGCATTTACTGCAAACCTTACAAAGAGGCCACCTCTATGAGAAAATGTATTATTTTCTTCTTTCACCCAAAACCTCTGCAACAACTTCTTGGCTGCGACATCATAACGTTCATGTCTTCTTAAGCATCGCTCTCTGTGTGTGTATGTGCATGCAATTAAATGTTAATTATTTCTTTCTTTTTTATGACTTCCCCTTGTCCATAGACTTGCACATTTTATTACACTTAATTCTATTAACAATATTTCTTGTTCGCTCCTTTTCTTTGTTGTCTTTTTTTTCTTTGCTTCTCAAGCATTTTTTACGCATTCCCACATTGTATTGGCCTACAATACCAATCAGGTGACAGTTATACATCTACAAAAACCCAATACACGAACACAAGGTCCTGAGAAAATATCCAATATGGAACCAAAAATATTTCATGCCATTATACCGGGTACAGCGGAACGAAAGTTAGCTCGACGCATTAGTGTGAACACCAGCCACAATATGTTTGTTATATGGACAAAATCATCACAAAATGAAGTGTTTCCTTGGCGGCCAACAATACGAGATCAGGATCGTGCCAATATACATGTGTTTAAATTAAAGGGGTGAGTGATTTTTTACGGAATTTTTTTTATTAAAAATTGTAAATTTCCATTTTATTTTCAGAAATCAATTGGATTTCTTTGCCTATTGTTGGTCCGAAAATGATCCTTTGTGTGTGGATTTTTTACGTTCCACCGATAATCAAATATTAACATTGGAACAAAAAATCTCCCGCAAGGGCGAAATTTCCGCTGAAGTCTGTAGCTATGAAATAGTTGTGGGTAAAATGCAAAGAACCCCATTGTCCTCCATTGCGGTGGGTACTCAAATAACATGTTTTGCATTTAGTCCAGATCAGGAAAAACTATTTTTGGGTAGTGCAGATCGTAATATTTGCCTACACGACTTGGTATTGCAAACAACCAAATGTGTTACACAAATTGATATTGTAAGTAACACAACAAAAACACGCCCAAATATTTAACATAAAATCTTTTATTTTTCTAGGTCCCCATACAATGTTCTTGGCATAGTGATTCCAGTCTAATTGTTATTGCCAACACCAGATCACAGTTTCAGTGTTTTGATTTGGCCCTTACACCTGTTGGCAATCAACTGCAAAGTGAAGATGTAACACCCTCGAATTTATTAGATTTATCACATTATTTTTCCGCCCAACCAACCCTGCTGCAAATATCATTTAGTCGTAAACCAGAATTGCATCACTATTCTCATCCATACGCAGCCACAGATTGTTTTCTGTTACTGCTATACGATCAGGGTCCTATTGGCTGCTTGAGATTCTTTGCCGGAGCTGGTATGCGTGGTGATATTCATAATTCTGGCCTAACCGCCGATGTCATATTGGATAAATATTTGGCCTTAAATCAACTGGAAAAGGCTGTTAACCTTCTAAATGCTTTAAATTGGGAAACCTATGGAGCAGTATGTCTAATATCTTTGCATAAAATTGCCAATCATGTTTTCTATCGTGGGGATCAAAAGAAAATACGTATTGAACTTATGAACAAGGCATTGAAAACATTTTCCGATTCCCTTACCGAAGAAACAAAAGATGAATTCAGTGATCAAGTTTTTGATTTGAAGAGAAGGTTTTTCTTTTTTCTTCTAAGGTATGTGTGGGACATTTGTTTTATAGTATCTTAATTTATTTTCTAAAATCCATTTTCTTTTGTCTAGACAAAATCTCTTTGCTGAAGCCTTCGAAGTGGCCCAAGACATTGAAGACTATGATCTATTTATGGATCTCTTTAATGTTACAAAAAGTGATCCAAATCTTGTGGAATTTTCTGCAGCATGTTTTAGTCAAGCGGCAGCCATACTTCACGAGGAAGATATGGTCAATGGTAATGTGAGTGCAAGTGATTTTCGTTCAGAATCGGTGTGTTCACAATCAACTGGTTCGGACACCACCAATTGTCGTAACAAATTACCACCCACCACCCAGCAACAATATCAAAAATTCCTTAAAGATTATGTGCCACCTTTGCCCTCCTTTAAATCGAAAGTTTTTAATGCTGAAATGATCAAAATAAATATGCCAAAATCAGATGTCCACAATATGGATTCTCATCATATAGTACAACAGCAACAACATCAGGAAAGGACAAGACCGCCACCTCCACCAATACCGGATAAAAAACAAACTATATTAAATCCTACTACATTGTCTGCGGCAAAAACGGCAGCTTTAAGTAGTAATTTAGCCAATCTCAGCATGAAAAGTGCAAGAAATTCCATTCACAATAATAATACAATGAATATGCATAGTTCCTCCATAACACCGCAGTGGTCTGATTTGGGGATTTCATTAAAAAATCCAAATCCAGCTACCAAATCAGCATTTACACCACTCTATAATACAAATAACAACAATGGTGGTTTGATGATCAACGGTGGTCTAAATAACAACAATGTAAATTTACATACACCCCACATACCGCCAACATCACCTGCTCCACATGGTTATTTTCAAACAACAAGTGAGTCCTTAAACAACAACAACCACAACCATCTAATGGGTCATCAACAACGTTATCAAATGTCATCGTCGTCGACAACAGCAGCAACAACAACGCCATCCACAGTATTACCCATTGCACCAATTGCCATGTATCAACCGAAATTTTTTCAACATCCTCTGGTATCTGGCACTATACCATCATCAGCGTCGACTAGTGCGGCGGGTACATCTCTGGCAGCCCATAGCATATCCAATGAAGAATATCAAAAAGTGTTATTAAGTAAAAAACCCACCGCTTCAATACTTTCGAATGGTTCGACAACTCAAAATGGTAGTAACACCTCGGTATTGAGTGGCATAAGCGGCGCACAAAATGGCAATGCCAAAGATAGTGGTGGGGGTAAATCATCAAATGGTGAAAAAAATAAAGTGAAATTTTCCGATACCGTGCAAGTGGCAGTTGTCCCGGTAAGTATCAAAATTGTATGATATTTTTTAACATAGGTTTTTTTTTAATACACCAATAGAGAAAAATGTAAGAAGTATTATGGTCGTGGTTACAGGAAGCTTTTTTGAACGAAACTATTTTTTATATTAACAGTTCCAGAGACATATTGTCTCTGTGGGCCCGATAATGTTGCGGTAGATAGGTTAGGTTAGGTTTGGGATGTACGGCTGTTGTAACAACCGTCCACTCGGAAACTATGTCCATTGTGATCATCCTTTATGTATAGGTGTACCTATAAAGAGAAAGAAGAAAAGATAGTGGAAGAGTAGAGAGAGAGGTAGTCAGAATAGGTGGGAGCGGAAGAGACATTATTTTAGCCAAGTCAATTTTTTGACAAAGCCTAGAATTAGGTTAGGGTCTATTTTGGAGAAGAAGACTAGATTATCAATTTCATAACATCCAAACTGTTTATGTCTTCTGCTGATCAGCGATGGACATTTGCAAAGGATGTGTTCAATTGTTTCCACTTCTTCTTCATCCTCACATAGACGACAGTAATCCTCTCCACTGGAGTCCCACTTAGAAGTGAGAGATCTAACTTTGCAGTGACCAGTAATGATCCCCACAACGATCTTAATCTCCCTCTTGTTGTGATCCAGCAGCGAAGACGTTCTTTTATGAGAGAATTCTGGCCAGATGGATTTAGAGATTCTGCATGCAGGTTCCCTTAGCCATCTGTTGCCGACTACCTCGCAATAGAACGCGCGGATTCTGCCAATGAAATAGCTAATAGGGGGTTTCACAGATCTCTCAATCAGAAGACTGGACGACTGTGACCCCCCTCGAGCAAGCTCGTCGGCTATCTCATTCCCTTCAATATCGTTATGTCCTGGAACCCAGCATAACCCAACTATTTGACGTATATCATTCAGAGCGGTCTTACAATCATGAACTGCTTTCGAGTTTATAGTATGCGACTTCACCGCTTTCAGGGCCGCCTGACTATCTACGTAAATAGTCAGCGGTCCTGTAAAGTCTGTATTAAGTGCTTTTACTATCTCGGCCGCTTTCGTGATTGCAAGAATCTCTGCTTGAAAAACGCTACAATCATTGTTGAGGTTATATGAGTTTCGTATACCTAATTCCCTGCAGTAGACGCCTGCGCCAGTGCCTTCTTCCATCTTGGACCCGTCTGTGAAGATTGACAGACCTGGCAGAGGTAGGGAGCCACTAGTCCAGGATTCCCTGTCAGGAAATTCGACTTTAATGTCATTAAAATCCCTGTGGGGGGAATATAATCACTGATATGACTATCCCCCCTAAAAAGGTCATAACTTGGCGTTATGTTTAGAATGCTGGCATGACCATAGTTCAGCGATTTCAAGGCATCTGTTTCCCGGAGTCTCAGGGCACACCTAGCAGCCTGGAATTTGATCAGAATGTCCAATGGTTGGAGATTCAAGATTGCATTCAAGGCTGCTTGTGGTGTGCTTCTTAATGCTCCAGTGATCAGAATTGAAGCCGATCGCTGTACTAAGCTCAGTCTTGTCAGCAGCTTCTTTTTATTCACCCCCTGCCACCAGACAAGACATCCATAGGTAAGTATGGGTAAGACAATCGTCGTATACAACCAGTGTATAATTCCGGGTCTCAATCCCCAACTCTTGCCTATGGAGTTCTTGCATGAATAGAGTGCCATCAATCCCTTCTTAGAGCGTTCCTCGACATTCCTATTCCACAGTAACTTGCGGTCTAGGACAGTGCCAAGATATTTAGCTTCATCAGAGAGGGTTAATGTCACTCCACCAAGTGATGGCAGACGGAAACTAGGAACTTTCCTAGTGAAGAGTACCAGTTCGGTTTTTGTGGGGTTTACACCAAGACCTTTGGTGCAAGCCCAATTTGACAGCGTTGAAAGAGCACCCTCTAGGATGTCTGATATTGTCGTAATAAACTTTCCCCCAACCAACAAGACTACATCATCGGCATAGGCTACTACCTTTATCCTGAGATGGTTGAATTTCATAAGTACCTCATTTATCACCAGAAGCCACAAAAGGGGGGAAAGAACTCCACCCTGAGGTGTGCCTCTGTTGACAGATTTCCTCACGGAACTCTCTCCTAGGGATGAGTTGATAATTCTGCTTTCCAGCATTCTATCAATCCATTCCGTAAGGAGTGAGGGGATACCTATGTCTACGAGAGCAGAATGGATTGCCTCTAGCTTCACATTGTTGAAAGCTCCTTCGATGTCGAGGAATGCTGCCAACGTGTAGCCAGAGGACTCCATATTCTTCTCGATGTATCCAACCACCTCATGCAGAGCTGTATCCACTGATCTGCCCTTGATATAGGCATGTTGGGATTTACTAAGTTTATTACGGTCAATGGTATCTCTAATTTCTGAGTCTAGTAACCTTTCTAAAGTTTTTAGTAGAAAGGAAGAAAGACTAATCGGTCTATAGTCTTTAGGTACCGTATGACTCGGCTTCCCGGCTTTCGGGATGAAGGTCACGGTAACCTCTTTCCATAGACTGGGTATGTACGACAAAAGTAAACAAGCCCTAAAAATGTCCTGCAGATATGATATTATCCGTTCATCTGCGTGTTGCAGCATGGCCGGTGTTATACCATCTGGACCAGGAGATTTGTAGGGTTGAAAACTATTTATCGCCCATATCATTTTTGGGTATCTTATAGTGTCTTCTATCATCTTCTCCTCTTCCCTCGTCCGAACTGTAAGCTGATGCACACACTGCGCATCTTCCCTATAGTCCTTACAACCAGGAATGTGGGTTGATGATAGAAGATCAAGAGTCTCACTACCAGAGTTTGTCCACGTTCCATCACTTCGCTTAATACTTCCTATGGATTTTGGATCCTTAGAGAGTACTCTGCGGAATCTGGCCGCTTCGTTGACTCCTTCGATCGACTCGCTATAGCAGACCCAAGACTCACGTTTAGCTTTCTTGATTTCGCCCTTGTACCTATTGAATTGTCTTTTATAGACATCCCAATCTGTACTGAGCTTTGTCTTACTAGCTCTATTATAAGCTTTCCTTGCAGCCTTCCGCAAGGTTGCAAGGTCCTGTGACCACCATACCGGCTGAGATTTCTTCCCAGGGTATGTTAGAGGACAAGATGCCTCATAGCTCTTCAGAAGAGTGGCCGTGACATTTTTCACAGCTAATTCAACATCCTCAACCGTTTTGAGATCATTACGATCCCGAAAAGAGGCTGCTGTTTTAGCTTTGAATTTGTCCCAGTTCGTCTTCCGAGGATTCCTATAAGGTTTCTGTTTAGCTCTAGAGGTAGGAATCTGGAAGGATATGAGTCTGTGATCCGAAAAGGAACATTTCTCAGACACCTCCCAGTTTACGACCCCAGAGTCGTCCATATTTGTGAGGGTTATATCAATGACTTCACCTCTCACCCTATTAACAAAAGTTGGTGTATTGCCTCTATTACAAATTCTAAGATTATAGCTAAGTATAAACTCGAAGATGGACTCACCTCTTGTGTTTGTGTTGCTGCTTCCCCAATAGAAGTGATGTGCGTTGGCGTCACATCCCAAGATGATGTCACCAACTCTGCTCATCTCCTCCAATAGGCGGCATACAACAGTGCCGGGTGGGTCAGGAGCTTCGTAGGGAAGATAGACGGCAGAGACTATCAGTGGCTTCGTGGTACCTCTGTCTAGTCTTGCTGTCGTCATATCTCCATTGCTGAAATTAGAAAGAAGCATTAAATTTAACTCCTTTTTAGCAAGAATACACGTTCTCACCTTCTCTCCATTGGAGGTAGACAAAAGCGTATATTTGGTGTCGCCCAGTCCAGTCACCTTACCTTTGTACAGGTAAGGTTCCTGGATGAGCGCCACGTCGATGTTTGAGGAAGAAAGGGTGAGTAGCAGTTCAGCAGCTGCTGCTTTACAGTGATGCAGATTAATCTGGATCACGTTAAGCGCTTGCTGCTGCCTGCCTATTGTTTTGGAGTGGTGAGGCGGAAACAAAGTTTCCCCATTCCATAAACAAGCTCACCCTTGTTCTTCCTCAAGTACTCCTCTCCCGCAGAGTCGGTAGCGAACTTCGCGACTACACCGCCGTTCCTTTCAAACGAGGCGAGGATTCTCCACCTCCTCGTCTGAAGGCCGTCGTTCTGCTTCTCCAATAACCTCAGTGTCTTCTCCAGCCCCTTGAAAGGTTTTGGGATAAACACCGAGGTTACCATACCGCTCGGTATCTCTCGAACCGCTACGGCCGCCAGACGACCACCCTCCCAAAGGGGGTCCAGGCTGTTGATTGTCTTCTTAAGAAAATCTGAAGTCTTCTTAGTGCGACAATCAACAACCTTTACTCCTTTGTAAGAGGAGGTCAGGCCAAACCGCAGGCTCTCTCGATCAACCTCGTCGGACAGGAAGAGGTCCTTCAGATAGCTGTCGACCAGCTCCCATCTATCCTCACTGATAAACCCGTCAGGGTCAGCTCGGTCGATGATCGCTACCCGCAGATCTTCCGGAACCTCTTTCGGATCAGCAGAGTCGCTTTGCTCAGTTGTAGGTGTCTGGGCTACCTGCTTCGAGACAGCGTGTTTGGTTTTCACCCCACAATCGCTGCTCTTGGCAGGTTTCTCCTTCGACGCTACCACCGAAGCAAAGGAAGCAGAGCTCTGTACGGCCGACGACTGCGTGGGCCTCTTTGCAGCAGGTTGTTGCTCCTCCGAGGACCTCATTCTCTTGACAGCCGTGGGCTGTGGCCGAGATTTGGCACCCGGGGTAGCAGCTACTGCAGAGGTATGCCCAGCAGACGCAGGCACCTGCTTCGCGTCCGCTACCTTCTGCTTGACCACTGGCGACTGCCCAATTGTCACCGCCTTGGCTGTCAGCTTTGGCAATTCGGCAGAAGGTGGATTGACAGAGGGCGGTTGTGCCTTATCGGTCTTCTTGGAGGCCTTTTTACGGGCTCTCTTTCGGGCCGACTTCGACAGTCCCCTGCCTTCTGTCTTTGTGGATTCTGATGTCTGAGACGTCTCAGTACTCAGTTTACCCTTTGGGGGTGCTGAGGGCTTAGACGTCTCAGGCATCAGCTTCCTGGATGTACCGGGGCCATCAGCAGGTTTCTCCTTCTTAGAAGGGACTACCGCCGTGGTCTTAGTACTGGGTCGGGGGATCCTGTCAATCAAGAAGTCCCTCTCAATGTCATCAGGATAGTTCCTAGAGAACTTCCTAATGAGTTTGAGGTTCCTCTTGATTAACAGGAACTCCTTACCGTTTGCAGAAATTTACTGCTCTCCGATACATTTTCTTGGCAGCGATTTCCTTAGCGTCAGCTTGTCTATGTTGCGGTAGATAGTCATGGGAGTTAGTGTTCCTCGACCTGCACATTCCTCAAGTGGAAGGAAGTTGCCAAATTGATGAGATAGGGAGGTTTTCAACTTTTCTCATATGTTTTCAACGACAGGACACGACGCCATTATCGCATAATCATCTACAGTTGAATACAGTAAAGACAGGGGTTAAACAGCTCCGGATATATCACCCACGTCGAGATCAAGCGATTGTGCAGCTGTATCTGTTACAATAAGGTCAATTTCAAATCCGAACGTTGACGAACCGGCAATTCTTTTGGCAAACGTGCATGTTTGGACTGGTGAAAATCAGTCTAGCTGACAGGGCTGTAGTTCTGGTAGGGGAAAACCTACACGGGACTCTAAATCCGCGATAGTCTAGAGAAGCAAAGTAAGGACAACTTCGACTAGTTAGACAGATTGATAACGGAAGAGCAATGTGGGGATACGCTTCCGGAGGAACTGCTACTGAATCTCAACCTAACTGATGATGAGCTGGACACCACGGTGATCCCAGCCAAGTCCTCAAAAGGGGATTGTTGTAGCATTAACGAAGGCAGAACCTTTTGACCAACCGGCTTCAAGTCTGACTACATCAGGTCATGTGTCGGCACTTGCCGACAATAAACTTCAGAGGCAATCTGCGGCGGAGGCGATGTCCGACGATGGGGAATCTGTTGAGACCCCAGCTCGAAGCCTAACCTAGCCTAGCTCGAAGCCTAACCCTAGTCAAAAGGCAAAGGAAAAGGCTAATGAGAAGGTTAGGTTTTGGGATGTGCAGTCACTTATGTGGCTGCAGCACTCTGAGACCGTTAAGTCCGTTGTGATCATCCACGAGAAGAAAACAGATCTATAGGGGAGAGAAGATTGGGGAAATAAAGAGAGATGAGAAGCTTACAGAAAGATATAAAAAAGGTAAGATTGGAATAATGTCGATGGCTATAGAAAACAGACAGAAGATATATTACGTGTCAAGGTTGCACTTTCCCAACCACTTTAGTTCCTAATTATGCTGTAAATTAGAGCAGGTCCGGTGTTGAGAAGAAGCTAAGACTCGGTAAAAAATGAGCACTAGTCTGTGCCGCCTATAAGCCAGGGCTGGACAGTGACACAGAAGATGCGCAATTGTCTCCGTCTCCTCCTCGTCAACGCAGAGTCTACAGTAATCAATTGCATCTAGATCCCATTTACTAGTAAAGGCCCTGATATTGCAGTGACCAGTAACGATTCCTGTCATTATTCTTATTTCAGCTTTGCTCAGGTTCAACAGTGAGTGCGTTCTTTTGGTAGGCAGAGTCGGCCAAATGGATCTTGACACGTTGCACCTAGGTTTGTTGTGCCAAAGTTCATAGGCTCTTTTGTCGAAGAACGCCTCAAAGTTCCGGTAAAAGATGACATATGGGTGGTTTGATTGAGTCATCAATTGCTAGATCTGTTGATTGAGATCCTCGTCTTACTGGAGGGCTCTGTCTCAAAGCCCGATTCTACGCCTAGCGACAAAAGTGAGGCTAAAGCTTTGGGTTGATCCACCACTGGTCGGAATAGGAAGAAGGGAAAGTCCGGCAAGGAACCATCGTCTCCTGGGAGAGAGACGAGACGCATCCGCTTTTCAGAAGGCCGCAACCTTCACCCAAGTAGACGATGACTTCGCGTTTGGCTGACCCATCTACCTCTTATGCGGCTGTCGCTGACGGCGGAGAAAAAGCCTAGTACAGAGAAGGCATCAACCTCCTCTGGAAAGGCAAACTCCAAGTTTCGTAGTCAGAGACAGCGTAAGCCACATATTCTTATTCCGCTTTGCTCAGGTTAGTTCTTTAATCTGATAGAGTTGGCCAGATGGGTCACATTGCATATAGGTTCGTCGTGCCATATTTCACTGACTCTTACGTGGAAGAAAGTCTCAATAATTGGAAAAATATGACATTGAGTTGTTTGATAGAGTCAGCGATTGCTAGATCTGTAGATAGTTATCCTCGTCTAGTAGTTCGCCTGCTTTTTTATCTCCCATAATATCACAGTGTCCTGGTACCCAACGAAGTCGGTAGCTGTTAGATAGTGTTTCTAAAGCTGTTCTGCATTATGGATTTGATGTTGCAGGTGTGATGGCTTTACGAGCCGTCTAACTATCAACAGATACTCACCGGTTCAATGATCTCAGCATCCAGATGTTTAATTAACTCCGCAACCTTCCAAATCTCGAAGATTACAGCCTAGTCGCTATCTAACCTGTATGGATACACAAGAGTTAGTCTTTCACCATCTTGAATCCGATTGTATGTTAGGGTTTCAGGTCTGTTAATATTTTATAAAAGAGAGGTTACAACAACTGTTAGACTCTAGGGATGTTATGTTTTTATACCCTCCACCATAGTATGGAGGGTATATTAATGTTGTCATTCCATTTGTAACTCGTCGAATTCTAAGACGATCTAGCCATGCCCGTCTGTTGTAATCACGCTATCTTCTGGAGGAATTGAGATAGGGTGCTGAAATTTTTCATAGGTTTGTCTTTTATCTGCAGGCAGGTCAAGTTCGAAGATGGGATATATCGGTCCACGTTTAGGCATAGCTCCCATATAACGGTAGCCCCCAATTGTCTGTATTTTGGGGTTCTTGAGCGCGTTTTTCAACCGAATTCGCTGAAATTTGTTATATTGGGTTCTTATTGGGTACTAAATGTCTTCACAAAAATATAAATATTGGTCCCCTTTTTATAGTAGTCCCCATATAACGGTACCTCCTAACTTTCAGTATTTTGGAGGTTTTGATCTTAATTTTCCACCGAATTGGCTGTAATTTAGTATTTTGTGTTCTTAATAGGTACCACAAAAAAATTATGAATATAGATCCATTTTTTCGGATAGCCCCAATATAAGGATACCCAAAGGACGAGCCCTATTGAAATTGGGAAAAATCGATACACATTTAGATATAACTCCCATATATATTTTCGTCCGATTTAAGGTAAATAGTGCAACAAAGTCCCTAAATATCTTTCGATTTGAACGAAATTTGGCACAGCGTACTGAATTAAGCCTAGAATGATGTTTGCTATGGTTCGTGGAAATCGTTTCAGAGTTAGATATAGCCCTATATATATATATATATATATATATATATTTCGTCCGATTCAATGTAAATGTTGCACCAAAGTTCGAATATATTTTTCAACTTGCACGAAATTTGGCATAGCGTAGTGAATTGAGTCTAGAATGATGTGTGCTAAGTTTCGTGAAGATCCGTTCAGATTTAGATATATTTTGGTCCGATTTTACATAAATGGTGCACCAAACTCTTAATGTTTGTCCGATTAACACGAAATTTTGTACAACGTATCAAATTGAGACTTGAACGACGTTATTGGGTTTTGTTGAAATAGGTGCAGATGTAGCCATAGCTTTCATATGTATTTCGATCGGGTATCTGATTGAGATTAAATATTTAACAGTGCGGCGTACCGAATAGCGTGTATCAATTTTGCAATAAATAGTTTCCATAAATTTGTTCCATGGCACGCTGAATCTGTTCCTTCGAGGGAACATTGAAATACGATTTTAACGATACATATGTACAATATACCGAAAGTGGTGAAGGGTATTATATAGTCGGCTCAGTCCGACTTTACTACATTCTTTACTGGTTTATATTAAAATAGCTGATTTGTTCCGCGTTTTGAGTTTGGTTCTAAGACTCTGTTGTAATCATTTCACCTGCGGAGGATACCGAGATAAAAAACGAGAACGTAAGGTTCAATAATGAACTATAACCCGCATTTAGGTCCCTAGTCCCTGTGTGAGAGGTACAAGAAGGAGTGGACCGATATTCCCAATTTTCGAATTTGAACTTAACCCTTTTCCACTTGTTAATATCTCACTAGAAACGTTATCATCAGAGTCTGGTCTTTATCACATTAAAAATAAAAATTATAAATCAAAAAACTTATTTTCAGAAAAAAAATAAAATTTTATTTAATTGAAAGGCTGTTGCTTCTTTACAGGAAATACCACGACGAGATAAATCCCTGATGGCCAAACGTAATGGTTATGCCCGCCCACCACCAAGAAATTTTACCAATCCAAAAAAGGAATTACAAGATAGTTTACCATTATGCCATCCGAATGATGATTATCTTAAAGATTTTAATCCATTGCCTGCAGGTAGCCAGCCTTGAGAAATGGCAAAAACATTTCTAAAATGAATTTATTTTATATTTTTTCTGTGTACATAAAAACAAAACTGACTGTTGTAAATTTTTAGTTGAATCTCATCATAGAACATCGCATGAACTACAATATCAACAACATTCCATGAATATCAACAATAACAACACTGGACATAATGTGACGTCAACGAACATGACACCACCACCAGCATCATCATCGTCTAATGGAACACCCGTGAAAGTTGTACATTTTGGTGTTGTTTAATTATAAATGCAATTTAATAATCATAGAATTGATTATGTTAAATCTAAAAGAAAGTGTCTTCCAAAACATATATGAACATATATTTGATGCATTCCCATTTCTCCCCTTCTCTAGATATAAAGCTTTAAAATGGTTATAAGTTTGTAGTTTTAAATGCTAGTTTTTTTGCAATATTTATAATGATTGTTAAACGTGTTATTTTTTAAGTATAGCAAATATTTTTATTGTAGTATATTGAGTAGTGCAACAACAAAAACATGGTTTATTTATATGTAAATGATTTTTTTCAAACACTTTTTATACGTTTTTGTACGCAATTTATTTTTATCTTTCTTATATCGAAATAAAAACAAACAAAAAATTATTTATATTCACATCCCTATTACAGTTTTACTTTTTCTTGCCACCACTACCACCAGTTTGCATTCTCTCCAATTCAGCTTTAAGTTCCAATAAATCTTTATCGGGTACATAACGTCTTTCTTCGCATTCGTCTGTGTGTTCTTGTACAGTCAATTCAACACCTTCGGGTAGAGCGGCCTGAGCAATTCTCAAAAATGCTGGATACAATGGAACATCGACATCTTGTAATTGTAGATTACGTTCATATATTTTCAGACGATATTCTGAATCGGTGACCATGGAATTGGGCTTGAGTCTTTGTACGGTCATATTTTGTGGGGGAAGTGCATAACTGCAAAGACAAACAAAATTAAGTTGAAAGATTTTTTTAATATACGAATGAGTAATATGATAATTAATTCCAATAGGGAATTTTTTTATACCGAGGACAGCACATTTTAAAATACATTCAGAAAAATAGTATACTAAAAGCAATAGGCAACAATAACAACACAGAACAGGTGCTCTAAATGGTTAGAACACCTTAACTACTGCAATATAAATTTAAAACAGCTATGGTCTACAATTAAGAGTCTATCTGATCTCCCTGCTATTTCTGATGCCAAAAAGTGTGCATTGCAGTTCTGCCGTCAATTCATTGAGCCTCCATCTTCGCAGAACAGGCCCCGCGAGCAGTTATCCGCAGATCCAAGAATCTTAAAAGAGACCTGCAGCCAATTTCATTTACATCTAGAGAGGTAGAGGCATTTATCTCCAAATCCAAGCCATCAAAAGCCCTTAATTCTGAGGGCATATCCATGTTCATGTTAAAGAAACTTGGAGCAATAGGGCTGGGCTATCTGACCAAAGTTATCGAGTTATCGATGTCACAGTTGGTAATTCCTTACATTTGGAAAGTTGCCCGCATTATTCCAATTCTAAAACGTGATAAGTCCGCTACTAGTGGGGAATTCTACCGCCCGATTTCTCTTCTGTCACCAGTAGTTAAAGTTTTAGAGTCTCTGTTGCTTATGTCCCTGAAACAGCATTTCTTGCTACCAACCAACACGGTTTCAGGGAATCATATAGCAAAACGACGTCTTTGCAAGAAATTACTTCCAAGATTGCGAATGGCCTCAATCAGCGACGACCACCTGAACGGACTATTGTGGCAGCTTTAGATCTGTCCAAGGCGTTTGATACGGTCGATCATTCCGAGCTGATATCATACATCATAAATTCATCCCTTGCGAATGATATCAAGCGTTGGCTTGCCAACTACCTTAATGGGCGGCAGGCCCTCGTTGAGTTCCGTAGCCAAAAAATCCAAATATCGCAAGATCAAAATGGGAGTACCGGAAGGCGGTGACCTATATTCCATTTTCTTCAACATGTATCTTGCGCAATCTCCCCATTCCTCCACCAGATGTTTCAGTGGTGTCGTACGGCGTTAAAATTGACGACGTCAGTGCAAGAATTTCCAACTATTTAGCCACCATCACCAACTAAAGTCTACTGTGTCACTTCCTGGACGCGAGAAGTCAATCTAGAACTTGACATTTCCGTTGAAGGTAGACGCATCCCCACCGTCCATAATCCTTCGATAACATCCTTCATTTCTCATCACATTCCAATTACATCAACCAGAATGTGAAATCTAGGAATAAAGTTCTGAAAGCTTTGGCTGGCACCTCCTGGGGCAAGCATAAAGAAACGTTGGTAACGACTTATAAGGCAATACATGAACAGATTTTCCATAGCAAATGCGATAAAATCCGTGCATCCACTGGTCTCCGAAACAATAAATGGCTACAGATGCAATAAAGTCCTACAACAAAATCCTCCTGCAATTTCCTATGCAAACTCGTTCAATTCTGGCACAACTAAGGTCTGGATACAGCAATGTTCTCAACTCGCATCGAGAGCGCATTGTCCCCGGAACCCTAAACAGGTGCCCCTCCTGCCAGCAAAGCTCTCATGACACACACCATCTATTCAATTGTCCGTCCGAGCCTACAAGTCTATTGCCTATAGACTTATGGCCAAATCCAATTTCCTAATAATTAATTAATATATCTTCCTTCTTCCGTTTTTTATCAACATTTTCAGGAAAGAACTTTCATAAACAAACAACCAGTTACAACAACAACACATGAGAATAACACAAAAACAGAAATGACATGGGATTGTATCGGCGCTTTTTAACCTCTACTTTTTCGATATTCCACGCCTTACAGACGACATGAATGTAATTTACACCAATGCAATTGCCGATGCGCCACTTAAATACAGTGTGAATGTCTTCTTCGAAGTTAAAGTTCAAAACATATACGGTTTTGTGCATATCATGTAACAGGTCCACTGATATTCGAACTATATATTTTTTTCTTAATTCAACAACAATTTACTAAAAATGTATTACAATAATAACAAACACTTGTCTACTTACCAATCAGCTACATCGATATCCAAATATTCGGCAACATTATGCAGGTAACGTTGATAGCTTTCCAAAATTGGATAATCGTAACCTTTTATTTGGACATTTAAACTGGGATATTGTGGATATTTTGGTTTGAGAGACTGCAAAAAATAATAATATAATAATCATAAAAAACTAATTCATTTTTTTAATCCCAAAATACATACATCCAAATAGTCAGGTTCATATACATCTGTGGCTCGGACACATGAAGTTGTTACCACATTTCTAGCTGCTTGCACATTTGTTTGCTTCAATACTTGACCAACAAGAGGATTGAGCTAATTTGCAATAAACAAAATTAAATGTTTTATTTATAATATTCAACAATTTCTATTCATAATTGCTTACCTTTCTGAGCATTTTGTATTTTTACTCTCTTATTTTGGAGGGGTTATATCACAAAACAAAATATAACAATACCAACCAGCGATTGGCTCCTTGCCGATTTTTATTTAAATGCCGACAAATAACAGCTGTTACGTTGTTAATCGAACTATCGAATCAGCACACAAAACAGATGTTTTTGTTTGTTTATGGTGATTTCAATGACACAGGGTGTAGAAAATATACAAATTAATAAATGTATATAATGGGTTACATATTAGTGTAATGATACATTTACATCCACCAACAAGAAATTAAACAATTATGTGTACACCATCGGTTATAAATTATTCTAATACCATGTTTACAGGGAACATAATTTACCACAAAAGTAGAGTGGAATCCACTGTTATTTTTGTAAAGTCGAAAATGTTGCCATATAAAACGCCGTGTTTAGATATGTCATTGAAAGTCTATTATAAACTCTAGTCACGTCAGTGCCAAATATCGTCAATTCCGCAAGTGTGCTGATCATCTATATTTAGATGATTTTAAGATTTGAAATGCCATCATCATACCAAAGAGTCAATTTACAAGGTTTCAGATAGCTCAAATCTTAAAACGTTCGGGTTGGCGTCGCTACTGAAACCGGAATAGGATGCTAGCTACGGTGAATTATATAGGATGAATTTACTTTTGTTTCCTGTTAACATATACCAAAACAGCTTGTAGCATACAACGGTTTTGATATCGCCAACCCTGACAACATCGAGAATTCTTTTCTCCGGCCGTTTGAAAATTTAGATAATCAATTATATGTGTGTATACTAGACAGCTGTTGGCGTTCCGGAACAAATTATACATACCTCGCGAAGTTTTTGAGTTCCCAAGGGTTGAATTATATCTCCGGGGCTGTATAACCTATAATTTGCTTATACCGGTATTCGACACTTTACAAATATCAGTAATATCGTCGGATCCTGTTGTTCTTTCACACTGTTTACACCGGCAGTTGTTGCCTAGACAAAGAAACCATGTTAACGGCTTTTAAATCGATGTCAGAGCATCAAGGTACCTGCTCATGACTCCATGTCTTGTATCGCCCGATGGGAGTAATTTAGAGTCACATTTGTGCGAGAAATGGGAATTCTTTCCATAAAGAAATCTCTCATTATTTTGGTATGTTCTGGAGAACTTCCGGTTGAACCTGGTCTGGATGCTTCTTTAGCGCATATGGTGCTGCTGAAACATTAATTTTACTAATGGGATACTCATCAGATTTCATATCTACCTCCATCAGTTTGGAGTTAGGTTTTTAATCTCCGCAAAAATGGAGTCGAGTGCTTGACCAAGGTCCTCAACTTGTCGATAGCCACCCGCGTCGTTCCCGAAGCCTGGACAATGGGTAGGGTGGTCCCGCTACTGAAGTCGGGCAAGGATGCCAGCAAAGGTGAATCTTACAGGCCGATTTCACTATTGTCGCCAGTAGCGAAGACCCTTGAGGCATTACTTCACCCCAGCTTTAGAGAAAGCTATCCAGTTGCGAATCATCAACATGGATTCCGTAAGCAACACACTACAACAACAGCGTTGCACGCCATCTCAACACGTATAAGTCGAGGATTTAACCAGAACCGGCCGTGCGGTAGAACAGTGTTGGTAACGTTCCGGAACAAGAAGTCTAAACCCCGTAGAGTTAAACATGGAGTTCCCCAGTGTTGAGTGATTTCTCCGGGACTGTTTAAACTCTACCTTTCCGGTATTCATATGCAGACGATTGTACGATCATGACGTCGGGTCCCATTGTTGAGGACATATATCTGAAGACGAACGCCTTTCTCGTCGAATTAGCGGTAGGTCTGTGGCAATCTATGCGGTTCCTGTGTGGTCTGCGAACACTAGTGATACGCAATGGAGAAGTATTCAGACCAGTCAGAACGCCGCCCTGGGGTGGACCATCTTCATGAGGAGGCGAAGATCCTTCCCTTACGTCAGCATAGCAATATGCTTTCGTTGCAGTACCTGTTCGGGTGCTTCAGGGACAATCATCCCAACCACCACATGGTGGACCAGACGTGTCAGGAAGGATCTTCATGATCTAGAGAGGGAGATTCAACGTTGTAAAAGGGAGCCTCTAGATCAAGTTGCCTATCGAGCAGTTCTGAATAGCATTGATACTGATGCAGTAGCCGCAGTACTGAACGGATACATACTGAATGCCGTCCTCGGAGCTCTCCCCCACCCATAGCCGCTGAAGAACGTCAGCTGCTCAGACAAACCAGAGTAAGTTTGGCTTAATTACGTTCAGGATGGTCCAGTCGTCTAAATTCGAATTGGGCACGCATGTGGTACAGGCCTCATACCACACTGCACTTATTCAATTGCCCAGTAAAATCTACTCGCCTTACTCCTGACGAGTAGATTTGGAAGTAGACAGTGCTGCATTTCTTAACTTGGAGACAGAACCAGATTGGATTTAAACAGGAAAACTATATTCATATAAACTGCTACAACAATAACAACAACCAACTTGCCCCGTTTCTACGACAGAGGGGTCTACGATCCGAAACAACCCGAGTCTTTCTCGGCCAACGTCTGTCACCTCATCCCATTGTGTAAAAACAATAGGGCTGCTACAACAACAACCATCTTGCCCATAGTCAAACTTCGGGAAAGACGTGGGTGGCTATCGACAAATTATTAGTTTGAACTGTCGGCTTCTTTATATATATATATATATATTTATATATATATATATATATATATATATATATATATATTTTAAACTTGAATATTTTCATACGTACATTAACGTTCACTCGATCAAAAAAAATTTGTGCCGAACTGTCATTCAAACCTCATAGTGTGTATACTGCCTTATTTTTGCTCGAGCAAGTCAAGTAATCAACATAACATGTAAACAATTTGATTTGACAACCCTACTCAACCTACTGTCACGTTTAGCATTTACGATTACTTGACTACTTACCAACACTGAACAATCTGACAACAGAACATTTCTAAAGCGGCGCAGTAGCAGAGTGTCAAAAAGGAAAAAAGAGTAATATGTACGTGCTAGAAAAATAAAATTTCCAATTGAAAATATCCGCAAGATTCATGAATTTTATTAAATAAATACGTAAATAAAGGTGTTTACATCATTTATAAAACAAATATAATTGAAAATACACGACCGGCAAATTGTAAGGCATAACAAAAATGCTGACAACAAAACAAATAAAACAGTTTCTGTATTGGGTGACGTTGCTGGAAATATGGGGGATTGTTTCATGTGTATCAGATCCAGGAATAACAAAATTTACTTTATCTCCAGTAAGTGTGAAGTAACCATAGAAATAATATGCAAATTGCTAATAACTTTCTTCTTGGCAGAATGCTCCAACGGAGAGGGAAATGAGACCCCTATTGGCCAATACAAAAATCTATGCAAAATGTAAGTTGTGTTGTTGTAAGAAAGTAGTGGCGAATGCTAGAAGGATGTGGGTGGAGGAAGACAATTGAAAGAGAAACACGTAACAAAATAAAAACTAATTGTTCCAATTTTCATTGCAGTGGAGTGTGAAGCTAATATCGAAACTGAATTCGATATCATAATTAGTACATCGCTGGTGGAGAGACAATGTTGGTTCGATGCCCCCGAGGTATGTTGTTACGCTTCATTTCAACACAAAACATATATTTTTTTAATTGATTCTCTAATATGTTAACAGGTCCAAAAAGCATTCGACATATTGGAAAGTCAACAAAGAGCTCAAAATCAAAGCGCCCAAGTTGTGCATAAATATCAAATAGCCGGTACATGTCCACATCATTTAATTGTTTTGGAAATACCTAACAATGAGGTTCAGGGTGCTGTTGGAGCTAATGCTTTGACATCGGCTGATACGGCAACGGTGAAGCCCGGTGATACAACATCACAATTGACTGCTAAATCCCCTGCTGATACTTTGAAAAATGCCAAACATCCACTGTCGGTGAGTAGATCCAATGAAGTGCGTTCTTTACCGCTTTTGTGTGTGTATTTGTAGTCATGTTTTGCAGTATTTTCTATGAATCACAAAAGTAATTACAGTGGAACATACTAATAGTGAATTACATGTACTGAATAATTTGCATTGCTGCAAGCAATCACAATATAAATTTTCCACAGATATGACGAACGTATTAATCCATTAGAATATACTTAACCCACAATAAATAGTTTATGTCATTGAAATATTTATTGTCCAGGGTATAAGAATATATGTTAGTTATTCGGAACCCTAAATGTTATCTCTATTGTTTAATGTCAAAAAAATTTTCAGAATGGATATAATTTGTTTATCCTCATTCTTTATAGCCTTGTTTGCCTGTTCATTGGCCAAATGTTTTGTTTAGTTACCCCCCTCATTTCAGAACCAATGGTTTCTTATCTTATTTCTTTAGAAACCTCTTATCACATATTTAATACTTACACATTTGTTACTTCGTTTTCTCTGTTGTACCCATTCATTATGGTTTCGATATAAATGTCTCCAGTATATCTTTAGGCAAAAAACAAAATTAACTAAATGTTTAAAAATAATTGTCTTTGCTTAGGAAAACAATTACTTCTTATCACATAAACTCAATTTAAGCAACCACTTGTTCGAATTAGAATGCCACATGGAGGTAGCATTTTTGAAAAGAATACATATTTTAACAAGTCGTTTTTTTTAAGATAAATAAAATGTTTTAAAAATGTTCTTCGCTTAGAGGAGTTAACAATTATCACATAGACTACCGAAAGGTCTTCAAGAATAATTTCCCTTTAAAAGACCATGAAACATCTCAGAGAAGACTAGTATAGAAGCATTTAGGTCTACTAGAGGACATATATCATCCCTTAAAAGAACAGTTGATCTTCTCATATGAAGCTAGAAAGTTTTCCCATATAAGGCATGTTCACTCCTAGAAGCCCAAACATCTTCTTTAGAAGATACGAATATGCTCTAAGAAGAACAAAATGATTTTTTCATACAATGTCAGAAGTTTTTCTCGAAATAAGGTAGGTACTTTTTGGTATTCTTTTAAAATACCAAATGGTTTTCTATGATAGAACATAATTTCGTATGAGAAGATTTCATAGATATAGAGAATGTCCTTCCGATTAAGGCAAAAAGAATATCGGAAAGATCTTTCCTACAATACCAGAAAAGGCTTCACTAGCGAACCAAAAAAATTTTCCCTAAAATAATAAAAAAAAAGTCACAGAAGAAAAAAAATCCGAATGTTTTACTTTAGAAGGTATCTTCGATGATCTACCTTGGTCGAAAAGAATATTGTCTTAAGTCGAACAGCATCCAGTGATCGCTAGCCTTGTTATTGATTCGTCCATCTCACTGGTAGTTTTCCAACATGGCTTCTTTGCAACGGCGGAGGCATATAAAACTGCGGTTATCTAAGTCTCCACCTTGGATTTCTTTCCACTTTCGTACTTCCTCATTAAATTCGGGTCCTATAGCCGCCAATTTAAAATAAAAATGTTAATTTCTTTGCCTAGGTGACCTCTATTCAATCAAGAGAAAAAATTGTTATTACAATTATTATATCATTATTTGTTTACTTCCAGCCAACCAATCGTCCCTTATATACCATTTCGCATGATGGTATCTATGAACTATCCATAACTGTTGAAACAAAAACACCAGAACCTACAGATTTTTCAGCCATGGTCACAGTGGAAATGTTGGGTCCATATGGTTATATATCAGCTACCGATTTTCCATTTTTACCGGTAAGTTTTTTCACTCCTCCTTTATCGAATGAAACTTAACAAAAAAATTGGCATTCCCTGTCCTTGTTCCAGTTCTATGGTATAATGTGCATTGTCTACGTAATATTTGGTGTCATTTGGTTGGGTGTATCCTTTATGCAATGGCGTGATTTATTGCGTATACAATTCTGGATAGGTGGTGTCATTCTATTGGGCATGTTGGAAAAGGCATTTTTCTATGCTGAATATCATTCGGTAAATACAAGTGGTGTTTCGGTGCCGGGCGCTGAATTAACTGCTGAATTTGTATCGTGTGCCAAAAGAACATTGGCTCGCATGTTGGTGATCATCATGAGTTTGGGTTTTGGTATTGTAAAGTAAGTATTTTTTTGTTAACAATTTTTTTTTTTATTTTTATTGCATTGTTTATTTTTTAATTGTCATAGACCTCGTCTGGGCCCATTACTACATCGTGTGGTAGGTGTTGGCCTCTTGTATTTCTTGTTGGCCTGTGTTGAAAGTTATTTACGTGTTATGCGTAACAAACCGGATGTGCAAAATGAATTATTGGTGGCCAGTATTCCTTTGGCAGTTTTAGACACTGGAATTTGTTGGTGGATCTTTACATCATTGGTACAGACCACACGTACTCTACGTTTACGAAGGTATGTAATTAATTTTTATTTATTAAAATGAAATATTATTAATAATTTAATATTCAATTTGCTGTTTACAGAAACATGGTCAAATTGTCTTTGTATAGACATTTCACAAATACATTAATATTTTCTGTAATTGCTTCCGTTATATTTATGTTGTATGCTTTACGTTTACGTAAAGCTGAAAATTGCACGCCGGTATGTTTGCTATTTTTTCGAAAAATTTCTTCCTATTTTTATTAAAAACAAAAAATTCCATATTTTAGGGTTGGCGTAATATATGGATTGATACAGCATTTTGGCATATCCTATTCTCAGTTTTGTTATTGGTTATCATGATTTTGTGGCGTCCCACAAATAATAATCAACGATATGCATTTACACCACTGCTCGATAATCCCGAAGACGAAGATGATGAGGGTAAGTTAATTTGAAATTGTTAAAGTTATTTAAAACAATATAGTTTACTCTTCTACGAGGAAACCTACAGCTCCTCCAAAAGAAATCATTCTGGAAAATGTTCAAAAGAACTCGATTTAATAACTATGAAATTCTTTTAAATGTTTTTTTTTTCAATTTTCAGAAGAGGATCAATTTGTGGCAGATGTATATGGTGTGAAAATGCGTGGCACCAACAGTAACGGAGCCAAAACACCGCCATCCAAAACGACAACCAACGAAGAAGATGATCTACGTTGGGTCGAAGAAAATATACCCGAATCAATGGCTGATGTTACATTACCCGCCCTTGATTCTGACGAAGAAATTATCAATACGAAATTCGAAGTGTCGAAAATGCAATAGATCATCGACATGAATGAAACACACACACATAATAATAACTAAATAAATAAAACAAAGAGACAAAGATAAATATACATATATATAAAATAAGCTAAAAATATATAAAATATTATTATTTATTACTTTTTTTCGTTAAAATGAATTATTTATATGACTGTATTTGCTAGTTTTAGCAAGATTTTTTATTCCTTTTTTTAATTTTGTTATTGCCTTAGTTAACTGATTTTCATATATGAAATCTTTAGAAACCTATGCGTTTAGCAGCACACATTTCAAAGATGAAAAGCCAAGTATTTTTTTTGTTTTTTAAGTTTTCAATAGTTCACCACAATTAAAAAAACAAAAACAATAAGACTTATACTATTTAGAGATTTATCACAGCTAAAAGAAAAACAATGCTAGATTTTTTGTTTGTTTGTCTTTACACATAAATTGCTGGTCAATCAAAATACTTAACAGAAAACAATCATTGCAAAACATAAAAAAAAAAATCATTTAGTAAACGAATAAAAAATCAAAACATATTGGCATGTACTCATTTGCCGCCGCCACATCTAAGCTTCGTCTTTCTTAATTGTTCCTAAATAAAACAAAAAACCCTTTCAAAATAAAAAAAAAAATCAAACCTAAAGAAAATATGTAAAATATTTGTAAAAGATATATAAATTTGTGTGTCATTATCCATTAATGATTTTCATATGATAATCCTTCGACTTGACCCCACACCTCTTTATCGAAATCATCCTAACCAAAACTCCCCATTCTTGCTCTTTAACATATTTTAGTTTTAAAATGCCTACATAGATATATATTTGTAGATATACACATAATATGATATTGCTTTCGTATTAACATACATATATATTTTATAACACATTTTCTTTATATAATATGCTTTGTAAATATTTATGAAAATATTAAAGAAATTAATATATATAAATATATTAATAATAAGTTTAACTAAAATCGAAAATATCTCTTAGGTGTGTAAAAAAAATATTTGCAAATTAATTAATTGCAACAACTTATTTTTCTCTTGTTTTTTATTTTATTTAAAAATTCCCCTGGAATTAGTAATGAAAAAGAAAATAAAATTCCAACAGATGTAGAAGTTGTATTAGAATACAATACAAAAAAAAAAAAAAACAACAACAAATGAAAACAACGTTTAAAAAATTATTTTATTTTATATAAAAAATGAAAATAAATATAATTTTATATAAACAGAATAAATATGAGTATTTTTTTAATTAGTTTTGCTTTTAACTTCATCTCCTAAATGGAAGCTGTACCAAAGGTATCATTGTTTCCCAAATGAAGGTAATTCACACTCGACATCTGAACATATTCGGTGGCATTTTAAAGCTTTATTTTATATCGTTTCTAGGTTCCGGTCGCAATGCTTCATTGCTTCGGCTGGTGAAGCCACCTTTTTCTTTTGTGCTAGTATAATAGTCTATTGACTTCAAGGGTAAGTCCTTACATTGTTGGGTCTTCAAAGGTCGTACGATGAAATACCGTCGCCTCTGCTAGGAAGATTGCTATTATTTCGGGTATTCGTTCAGTAGGAAATTCCTCTCAACTACCCGAGGAACAGAAGGGGTGGGCTTTCTTATGCTGTGAGTGGAAACTTTGTTAAAATTTGTCAATTAGCTTTCCCATGGTTGAAGAAAGTCGAGTGGTCTATAAACGGAGACGATTATGGGGATGTTAAAGTGATCCGCGGGAAATTACGGGATGCCAGCTTACGTCATTTATCGGACATGATGAAACTAAGATAATTTCCACCAACAACTGCCCAATTGTCACAGCCTTGGATATCGGCATTGGCAATTCGACAGGGGGTGGATTGACAGAGGGTGGTGTCTTATCGGCCTTCTTGGAGGCCTTTTTACGGGCTCCCCTTCGGGGCGAATTTGGCAGTCCCCTACATTTTGTCTTTGTGGATGCTGATGCCTGTACTCACTTTACCTTTGGAGGTACTGAGGGCTTAGAAGTCTCAGGCACCAGGTGTACTAGGACCTCTGACAGGTTTCTCCTTCTTTGAAGGGACTACCGAGGTGGTCTTCGTACTGGGTCGGGGATCCTTTCAATCAAGAAGTCCCACGCAATATCATTCGGATAGTTCCTGGAAATTGATAAAAAGGAACTCCTTTCCCGTGATATAATCGCTGTCCCGTCCGATGAATCGGTTGCAGTAGTTAACTGCTCTCCGGTACATCTTCTTGGCAGCGATCTCCTTGGCATCGACTTGCCTAGCAGTTACTGGTACTGGTGATTCATCCAACTTAACTACGGCAGTCTCGTCAGTACCAGTACCGCTTCGACAGCCAACTACAACTAATCTCGCGACATCACTGCAGGCCATGGAGATTGAGTGCGGATCATCAACCTCGCCAGGGTTTATATACCTACTCATCATCTTTGAGAACTCACTTTGCTTCGGAGGAGACACCAGGATCGCTACCGTGTTTGTCACCGTAGTGCTAATTACTGTAGTTTCCATTATGTCTTCCTCGTCTGACAAGGGTGAGTCATCCCAGAGCTGATTCGGGATCCTCTCCTGACTAAGGCGGAAGGAGACGGTTTCCTCTATTAAGTTGAGGAGAAGATCCGACAGTCAAATCAAATATCCTCACATTGTTATCAATCAGCCCCCAATACGAATCGAGGCAATTGCAGTTGCGGCACACTCCTCGGCTGTATTATTTATAGTCTCACGAACTACTTTTTCAGAACTGCCCAATAGGTTTTCTATAGGTTCTCTTTTATATTTTTGAATTTCTCTCATTCGATCATACATATTCTTCCAAAAACGCCATCGAAATTTGGAGGAATTGCTGCAACAAATGCTGACGCTAGAGAATAATCTTCGTCACTTCATGTACACGGTCCACTGGAGTCGTTATGAGACATCCTGTTGTAGTTAGCAAGACGGCGTATTGACAGTCTTTCGTAGAATACACTGAATTCGAATAGCTGGCCAAAAACCGATCTATCACATTGTAAGACTAAAGTACCTGAGAACTTGGTTCCCACATTTTAGCTTATCACAGATAGCTTTGACAGCCAACGCAAATTGCTGTACTTTTCGCTTCTTCCTGTCACCCTCGGAGTGCTTGTTGTTCTTCTTCTGGGAAATTAGAACCCATTTGGCGTATTCGACCAGCTGCTACAGCTATATCGATGTCTCGGAATTTCGTTTCTGCTACCCGAACATCAAAAGGGAGAGCTCACACCGAACTGCAATATGTTTGAGAATTTTAAAATGTGTATCACTTGAAATCAATTTGAATTCGGCAAGGTATATACAAGCATGGATTTTAAAGTATGACTTTATCCATTGGTCGTTATTGACTTTGGGTCGCATTGCAATGTGCGGAGAGTTCAGTCAATAGAGAATAATACTCCTAAGCTCAGTATCGTAGGTTGGGACCCCCACGTTGGGCGCCATCTATATGAGAAGTTAAGCTTTATCCTCCGATTGCTAGCGGTCTCGGGTCTGGTCCTCAATCATTCAATACTTATCACTCTACTTATCTTGTAGAGTGTGAGTTTGGTCTGGTGAGATGTGGCGTTGCTTTTGAGTTGCTTGTTCAGACCATAGTTGCAACTGTTGACCAACACTATTCTCCTCCCGATTTGTTTATGACGGTACCGAGGTATATAAAATCGTTCACTACCTCGAAGCTGTAGTTTTCAAGTTTCACAGTTGGTCCGAGTCTATTAGACGTCTTGCGCGTTGATACCATCAACTTGGTCTTTTCACCATTTACTGCCAGTCACACTTTGGCAGACTCCTTATCAATCCTGCATAGCCGTATTAATTTTGCAGGAATGCCAAACGCAGACATGGCTTTAAACACCTCTGAACGGATAGGGCTGTCGAATGCGGCTTTGTAGTCGACGAATAGGTGGAATATGTCGATGTGTTTATCGTGGGTTTTTCCAGGATCTGACGCAGAGTGAAAATCTGATCAATGGTGGATTGGCTTCAGTCTTTCACGTTGGATAGCACTTTATATGCGATGGGAATGAGATTTATTCCTCTATAGTTGGTACATATCTCTTTTCTCCTTTTTTGTGCACGGGACACAGGATGCTGAGGTTCCAATAATTGGGCATGCATTCCTCTACCCAAATTGTACAAATGATCTGGTGCATGCTCCCGACCAGCATCTGACCACCGGTCTTGAATAGTTCGGCTGGTAATCCATCGGCATCTGCTACTTTATTGTTCTTCAGACGATTAATTGCTACTCTGACCTCATTTTGGCTACACTCTATATCGTAATTTCTAATTGGTTCTGGAATATATTCTTCACCGCCACTATTTAATACCAGACGTTTTTGAAAGTAATCCTTCTAGATCCTCAGCACGCTATATGTATCTGTCACCAGGTTTCTATCTTCATCTCTACAGGAGGATGTGCCTGCGCCAAAGCCTTCGGTTAGGTGTTATATTCGTTGGTAAAATTTTTGGACTTCATTATGACTCCTGTATATCTCGATTGCTCACGCTCACGTTTTTCTTGTTCTTTCTTCTTTTTTATCTGAAAATACGATACGCTTCGCCTCAGTAGCATTACGACACTCCGGATCACGGGTATCACGGGTTTCTTGTTTTTGGTAATGGTCGCTAAATATTTAGGGTATCAAATTAGTTTAGTGGGTCAAATTGACCCAGATTTTTGTGTTAAAAGTGACAAAATTTGCATTCCATGGCGTATATATTTACTCCTAAAGGACATAGACTGGAGAAGTTGACAGTATGTCCAAGTGAAGTGGTTGAACTTAAAATTGGTGCCAATTATATTATTCTATGTCCTCGGATGTGGGAGTTATACGTAAATATTTACAAGTGACTACGTATTCTGATTAATATTACCACCTTAAAGGAAATGTAGCGGTAATGGCTAGGAAATGGTCTGGGATGAATTGGACCTAAAACTTTATTTTCGTCTGGTTTTCTAGTCGCTCGAGAGGTCACTATTATAAGCCGAACATGACGAAAGTTTTATGGAATAGGGTATCGGATCACCTCTTTGATAGTGATCGGTCAATAAAATGTATGTGTAAAATTTCAAAGCTCTATTATGAATATTGAGAGTTCTATTGTGAGACCAGCGTACTAAATCTAAGATGTCGTATAGCAGCAAGTAAACGCTACAAAAAAGCCAGTAAAATAAGACTTAATTTGGAATAAAATGTATGTTTAGTTTCGGAAACTAAAAAAATGTATTTGCTTTGTTTACAGATTGAAAGCCTAGTGACGGATGGTTTAATACCAGATTTCAGAAATTGTATATATCGAGACTTTCTACAAATACATATCAGAGCTAATGTAAATTTTTTATCATTAAACCTATTTTTACGAACTATTTACGTACTACAATGCTGATATTCTTAATTACAACAGACATTCATTTCTGAGAGTAAAAGTAAACAGAAACAACAATATATATGTATGTATGTACATATATAATGTGCGAAATATCGAACAGAGACCACTCGAATGCGTTTGCTTTCCTGTGGATGGCTTGCTGCCATGATTATGTCAATCAAAATAGCGTGTAGGTACATGAGCATAAAACTGCAGAAACTATTTTAGGCATTTCAACACTTTTTTTCGGTTTCTTATTCGTCAAATGCAATTTGATCAATGTTGATATTGACACCTGATGCTGCCGCTATGCTCAGACTTGTGATATGTATATACAGAAAATGTAAAGTAGGGAAATGCAAATGGACTCAACTTATATGAAATATTTCTGGAAATACTAATATAGAATATGGGAGCTTCAAATTCCATATTCACTCCATTTGTGGTTTCAACTAGGCTAATTGAATTGAAACAAAGGAACTATATAATTTCTGTACTGATTTTCTTCGCAGCGGTGAATGTTCTCAGGGCTAAACACTGGTCGATCTTCTCAATATCCGCTAAAACAAATCATGGATTTCTATTCCACCAATTTTCATGACGATGGAGTATATCTGCCTAAGTAGAAGATCGAAAGAAGCTAGAAAGAATTATGATCTCACAATTTCTCATATATTTGTAGTTTACGTATGTTGTTGTTACACATTGGGCTAGACCATTCTATTTGAAATAGAGCTGATCTGAATACTACCAAACTCTTCCACAGATTGCGATCAATGCGAAATCAATGCTAGTCAACAGATATCGAATTAAATTGCCGAGTGTTGATGATCTCTTCTATCATATTGATGGTCCTCACCAATTGACGATGTTATGTGCCGATCAGCATTCTTACGGTGCCCAGTTATTGCTTTAACTAAATTTAAAGGTGTCGTGTAGTATGTTTTAGGATTAGTTGCCAATTCATTTTTCATGGTAAAGAAATTATGAACTGGTTGGCTGCAGGCACTGCATGAATTATGGATACGTCACATTTTCAATCACGTCAAGTTCATTGAAATCCTGCGTTTCAAGCGTCTCATGGTGGATAAAACTCCCGCACCCAGGCGTGTCAGAAAGGGTCAGCTTGATTTAGATAGAGAAGTCCAACGATATAAAAAGGAATCCGTCGATCAAGAAGCTTATCGAACAGGCCTGAATGGTATTCACATTCGACGTGTTAAATGATGCCGTCCTGGGCGTAGTTTTGCTCAATTACGTTCAGAATAGTGCAGTCGTACACTGCCAATCCTAATCAACATTGTCCAGAAGATTTGTGGCTATATCCAATGGAAAAAGCTGCATTTCCTAATTTGTAGATTAATCCAGAACCTGGTTCCAACAGGAAATAGAAGAAGTACATGTACAACTGTTACACAAACAACAACGTCTGATTGTAAATCTTGTTAAATGACGAGTAGTACTATTTCCCGCATTAGAGGGAAGTGTGAATTTCCGTCTAAGCAACGAATGTATTGAGACTAACATTTGAAACGCGTTCCTTTTGATCAAGAGGGACCTCAAATTCATCCCGGTACGAAGACCACCACGGTAGTCCCTTCAAAAAAGGAGAAACCTGTCGGAGGTCCTAGTACACCTAGGAAGCTGGTTCCTGAGACTTCTGAACCCTCAGTACCCCCAAGGGCAAACTGAGTACTGAAACGTCCCAGACACCAGCATCCACAATGACGGAAGATAGGGGACTGTAGAAGTCGGCCAGAAGGAGAGCCCGTAAAAAGAAGGACGATAAGGCGCAACCACCCTCTGTCAATTCACCCCCTGTCGAATTGCCAAAGCCGATATCCAAGGCTGTGACAATTGGATTTTGTTTTTTTTGCGGAGGGAATGGGGAAATGGATCTGCTTAAATCGGTGCCCGAAATTTATATAATCTTTTTAAACCTGCGATGTGTCCTCCGTTCTTCTAAAAAGCATTGAACAGGTGAATAACGGAGTTCTTCCTCTAGGCCAATTTCCAATTACCATTACGCACGGGAGCCCTCCAATGGGTACCACTGTTATATTACTACCCTCCCAAAAGGGACCTGAGGTTATTTACTGCCAAAATAAGGTACTACTTATTACCACTGACCCCCATATTTAGGGTAATCCTAGGCTTAACTATAGTAAAAACGATCAGATTTTTCTGAAAATTTTTTCGGGTACCGGTACCCGGTTATACGGATCCGTTTATTATAAAATGGGTATCATTTTAAAGCATATTAAAATACCTTTCTATTTGGACCTCAACTTTTTTTTGAAAAACTCCCTAAAAGTCGAAAAACTATTCTATTTAAGAGGAGATTCTGTCGCGTAGCCGGTGATGGTGTCTGTCAATAGGAGCAACTAGAGTTGTTCCTAGTCCTATCAAACAATTTGAAGTCTTGCCAATGATGGCTTCTCTTTGTTCATCTGGAGTCATTTGTCGAGTTTTTTCTGTCAGTGAATCTTTGAACTTAACACTTTTGGATGCCGACTTTACTCATTAGAGCATTCACTCTTGCCCATATTTGCTTCATTACTGTCAGACTCTTCTTTTGGTATCTTTTCATTAACCCTTTGTGGCCAATGTTGCCCACAAGCAACAAAATGTTTTAGAGCTTATATTTAATATGCAGCTAGTAAATATATATTATTTGGATTTCATATGTCAAGACGTGATTATGGACGACACATATCAAAAGAAAAATCCAAAAAATTCAAAATTTTGGTAGAGTTATGAGCTTTTCAACATAGAGAAGAGGGTAAATTTGTGTACAGTACTAATTTGTGTATACAGTCCAAATTATTTAAATCGCTTCGTATTCAAATTGTATGAGTTCTGCCATCGGAATTATTTTTGATTCTTGTAAAAATGAATATAGAGAATAATTTAAAATGATTTTTATGTCGATTTTGCATTTAGTTTTCTTGATATTGGACTTAAATTTTTCCGAAAGAATGTACTGTATCACCCGAATGCAAGGATATAGCGATGTCAAATTTTGTGCATATCCTATTTAGGATAGTTGCATTAAATCTGTGAACAGAAATTTGTTCTAACATTGCGGAAAAAATTCGGGGCTCAATGGGTTAACGTTGCCAACCACGGTCATTAATATAATTTATTTCGTTTCCACGACAGAGGGGTCTACGATCCGAAACGACCCGAGTCTTTCTCGGCCAACGGCTGTCACCTCAGCCCATTGTGTAAAGGCAATAGGGCTGCTACAACAACAATATAATTTATTTGGTTTATAGTGCTATTGTTATAAATATGCTTCGCTGGCCATTGAAAGACTCAAAGAGTTTCATTCTTATTTAATTATTTTGTATGTGTTAATCAAATCTTACAAATTCGTAACAATTTCATGGGATTGAAAAACTCAATCACGGTTTAAGACAACGCTACTGTTACATTAGTACTGCACATACTTGCATCCATTTTTAGTAATGGACTTATAAATAAGTCAACGAATCAAACAAGAATATTTACCTTCGTATATTCCTCGATGTTTTCCCGCCTCTCTATTTGTTTTCACTGTTAGAAAATATTCCAATTCTCAGCAAAAAATCCTGTTAATATTTAACACTTCACTCCCACCACAGAAATTTCACCAACCAATTTTGTTACTGTTTGTAATTAGTTTTATACGTTTTTTAAATTTATTTTAATTGTAGTTAAATCTTTATAAGTCTACACTATTACGATTTTGTTGTTGTTGTTTGTTTTAAATAACTAGGCCTACATGTTGTTCTTTTATTTGTGATCGATTGTAATTGAATTTGTTTTAAGTATTTCTTTTTTATTTTTTTGTTATTTTCTCCTAAAAGTGTATAAAAAAATGAATGAAAGAAAAAAACCAACTAAAAGAATTGTTTTTTTTTTTAATGATTTCGATTGACGTCTTAATGCCCAGTCAAAACGTGATCTTATTAATACTTCGTTTACATAAAAAATAATAACATGTATCAACTTTTGTTTTCTTTTAATCAAAAATTTTTTTCGTTTGTATTCTTTTACTACAGTGCGCAACGAACTTCCATGCCAACATCATCATAATCATACCCCCTGCTTTTGGTCATCATCGCCATCCTCTTTAAACTTAATGTGATTTCGCTTATGCTTCTTTTGTGTGTGTGTGTATAAGGTTGCTTTTGCATATTTTTGTGGTGGTTCTTGGAACCGCACATTTATTTTCAGTTCTATTCTGGTTTTACAGTACGTCTAAGAATGGCAGCAGCTAGATCTTGTTTCATGGCCACCTGTTGTCGTTGATCGGCCAAAGGCACCGTGCTGCGCAAACCATTTACAATGTCTTTGGTCTTACCAAAATAGATTTCATTAAGGGTATTGCGTATTTTGTTCTCCATTTCCTCGACCATGCGACCAATGTTGGCGATATGGGGTGAAGAATCACTGACATTGGCGTCCTGTTCCGTTTGGCGTGTCAACGAGCCACCCAGGTTCATTGTACCCGAACCTTGTTTATTTGTTTGCAGCCACAACATGGCAGTGGAGGTGAGTTTATAATGGGCATTACGACCGGTTGGCTTCTCTTGAACCTCTACAACATGAATCGAGTCCCAGCAGCCTCGAATCTTTTTACTACCATCACCGGCCTTTTTGATAAGTATGACAGCAGCAAAACCATGATCCAAATCCCACAGATATACCGAGGACACACCACCTTCATAGTACATTTCACGATACTGATCGAAAGCATAATTGGCCTCTATTTCCAGTTTACGCAACCGTTCTGAGGGCATTTGACCATCTTCCAGCGGTGGGTAGTAAGTATTGGACCAGGGTGACCTATACGAGTCACCATCACGATTGTAATCACACAATAAGTAATCTTTGCCATGCTCCTTATCCTTGGCAATTTTCAAGGGCTGGTCCACGGACGAAAGTAGATCCTCACATAAATCAGGCGCCAAATCAATGAGGTCACTTAAGTTCTTTTCGATTTGTTGTGGCGGCAAACGGCGCATCAAATCCAAAGCACAATCCATTTGTAGTTCCGACTGAAAACAAACAACGAGAAACGAAATTAAATGATAAATTAGCGATAAACGCAGTATTAACTTCTAATATTCGGCGACGGACTTATGATAACAAAAGCAATTGTGGTAGTTTCTAAACTGAATCATCATCATCGAACACATCATAGCTGTCGATTTCAAGTATTTGAATACCGGCAGAGAAAGAGGACCCATCATATAAACGTTATGCACCACCCCCACACAGCATAATGTCACAGTGTTCACTCTGTACGTTTTCCACACAGAATGCAATGCACCTGACCATCTGAATGTTCACAAAATCTTCAATTTTTTGAAAATCTTTTCTGGTTGTTCTTCTTCTTTCTTTCCCGACGAAGAGGTGTGTGTTTGTTTTCTATACTTTTTGTTCACATATTCCAAAATATTTATTTATTACTCACCATTTTTAGGGTTTTATTTTTTTCGTGGTTAGTTGTACAGATTATATGCCAATGCAAAACTCTTCGTCGTGGAAGATCTAGTGGGCAGGTTTTGGGGAATTTCTTAGTTGTTCAGCAAATGCTATATGAGTAATAATACAATGAAGATATAACTTTATTTTAAATAAATATATTAATAGGGCAGAGGCACTTCACAAACTTTTCTGCTGATGAAGTTTTTTTTGGCTCTCTTCTTCCTAATCGAAAATAGGGTTCTGCAAATCGATATAAAACTTATCGATTACGGTGATTTTGTGTGGCAACGAATATTTAAAAATCTATTGATATGTTTAAATGAGAGTAGTTAATGGTTTCATAAGAATTTAAAATACTCACGCATTGCTTGACGAAATTAACAAAAACTGTAGTATATCTATCTTATATACATATAAACAGGTTGTTTGTTTATTTGACATATTTTTAGAACTTTATTGAATAAGGAAAATATCGCAAAAAATTAATGGTATTTCAAGTTTTTTTTCACAATATTGCTTTGCAAATATGTGGTATGTTCCCGTACTGCAAGAATCTACTCGATTTTACTATTTTCTTCGATATCATAAAAGAAAATTCGTTATCGTAGTAAAAAGCAGTAGATTCTTGCAGTACGGGAACAGATCAATGATTATAAAAAGAATTATTCTCAATACTACGAAAAAAATTTTAATTACAACCATGGTACAACAATACAAGGTAGGGCAGCATGAGGTGAATAACAAAGAAGCAACTATGCACGTGTGGCTTCTTCTGTCAAAAATAAAATAAATATACGCAACAAGTGTTTGTGTTTATTTGACATTTTTTCAACACAAAACAAAAAACGCGAAAAATGAACGAAAGGTTATGATTTCTTCCCAAAATCCAGTAGGGAATACCATCAAATGTTTGCTTCATCCATAACAAAGTAATTACTTCCAGACGAACGTGTTAAAAACATCATTTTCATTTCAATTAAACTTGAATATATTTGAATTTATTTTGAATTTATTTGACATAGTATTCAAAACATTACACACACATACACCTTTGATTTGATGGAACAAGCCACCTTGAGAAAAAAATGTAATCAGTTGGTAGCTGTGCCCTTCCTTGTAATAATTATACCATGAGGTGTATTTTCTCCTTTCTGATAAAAGCTACTCTACCATGTAGAATTGTAACATGGTGTTAACGATAACACAAACGCTCGAAGCTAATGTGCGCTGCGCTTCGGGGTTAAGTACATTTTAACTTTTTGCGCACGTTAACGCGATAACAAAAAAAAAAAAAAAAAAAAAAACAGGGTTTAAAATGCAGCATCAAAAAATATTAGCTTTAGCTCTAAACTGTTACTGCTAAAAAACATTGACATTTAGTCATACTAAATCAGCAAACGGCTAGCTTTTTTAGTTCATAGCATTCGTGTTAAGCACGTATTTCACATGCGAGTTTTTTTTATTATGACTAATCGGCAGTACGACTACATATTCATATTTCGCTTCCGACGAATATTCAGCCGATGGTTGTTTTTATGTTTGTGTGTTGCCAACGCAGAAATTAGAAAAAAGGCAATTCATTTTGTGTGTTGTTATTTAATTTAAACTTGCCAAATCGCAATTAAAAGCTGTCAATAAGTAGTACTAAAAACTAAATTATATATTAAATAAAAACCTTTAGCAAGTATTAATCATTGTCATTGTTGGAAAAAATTAAATTATCATAATCGCGATTTTTAATTATCTCTTATAATTTTTATAATTTCAATGGACAACACTGAACTCGAAAAATGCTTGGGTTTTGTTTGCTAAAAATTTTGCTAAGCAGCCAAAGTCAAGGTGCTTAAGGGCTAAACAGAATGCTCGCGTTGAGCCATCCGTCGCGTATATGTTATCGAAAATACAACAACCACAAGGAAACGATATGCGTTTGTGTTATCGTTTCCTTGTGGTTGTTGTATTTTCGATGACAAATAACGCGACGGATGGCTCAACGCGAGCATTCTGCTTAGCCCTTTAGTCTTTATTGTAAGCTTTGGTTGTTAGTCGCGTTGACAATTATGTTGTAGTTGTTCATTGCTATTTTGTAGCTGCTGACAAAATCAAGAAGCTTTAGTTTTGCTTGCTAAAATTTTTCGTAATGTATTGCTATTTGTTGAAGTTGTGCTTGACTGTGCTGCATATTTTGAGGATGAATTTAGTTAGCAGTGCGGCAATTTTCTGTGTTTTTGCTATTTTGGCGTTAGCATTTTAAACCCTGCAAAAAAACGCTCGACGCGAACATTCTGTTTAGCCCTTGTGAACAAAATGTATGCTGTTACAAAATTAAAAATAGCCCAACTCTAATTACACTCTATTCACCAATGAGAGATAAAAGCGAATTTACATATAACATTTAATCATGATTAAAGGCTGAATCAGGGTTTATTTTCTTAATCAGGCTAAATTTACCATGATTTACCACACAAATTTAAATCATCGTGCAGCAGGATTTATTTTAAATCATGATCGAAATCATGATACTACTGAGATGCAACGCGGGTTTTGTACGAAAAAATACAACTCTCTCACAATGTACCAAAATTTGCAACTGTTTTTACATGCCGTTTGTTTTTAAATTTAACGGCTGACAAATACAAAAATGACAGATCAAAGGAAAATAAAAATTAATTATAGAATTTTTGTGTTTTTAGGTGTTTTTTTTTACTTTCCAAACGATCACAGTATTGCAAAAACATTTCCATTGTGGTAATTCTTCTATTCTTTTTGAAATTGCAAACAAATATTTTTGGCGCAAATTAATAATTTTGTATGTATACTAACAAACATCAGCTGATCGGCATTTAAATCATGATTAAGGGTATGTGTAAACAATTAGGGTGTATTTCTGGATTTCGTTAATCGAGTCGATTTAAAATCGTATATGTAAATGTACTTTAAATAAAGTCTTATGACGAATGCCTATGACGAATAGTGTAAAGGTACGCTAATGCAAAATCGACTATAATTTTTTATATGAATATTTGTCATCAGACGAAAACAGTTCTGAAATATGTAATTATTGGGAAATTTATGCTTTGTGACAATAAAAGTACGTTTACATTGTACCAGATTTGGTTAACCCAGTGGGTTTAAATTTTCAATTCCTTTCAAATAAATCAAATCAATAAATCAAATAAATCCTCATAAAGTAGGTTAACCCGGTAAACATTTCAAATGTAAATGCCGTATAAACAAAGTATTAATGAAGACAATCGAAAGTCGATATTGAAAAGACGACTTTGCGATTTTGTCAAAGATCAAAAGTCGACTTCGACTTTTTGACTTTTCAATACAAAAAGTCGATTAATCGATTAGTCGAAAGTCGATTTACTTATCCCTACTTAGTACTCTGGGACAAAAGTTAAAAGTTAGTTACAAGTACGGCAAAGAGAATCGGAATTTCGGAAAATAAAACTTAATTTTATACTTTAATTTCTATAAATCATTAAATTTTTGATTAAAACCAAGGTAAACCATCAAACGACATAGCAAAATTAATAAATATTGACAAAGAAAAAGCAATTGAAAAGTGCAAGAAAAAATCTATAGAAAAAATTGTGTCTGCTGCTGCTGGTGTATCTGATCGATGAAGAATAAAAAAAATGATGAATTGGGGAAAAGCAAAACCAGTGAATGGTGGAGCAGCCAATGGAATTTAGTGGAAAACTAAAAAATAAAATTGAATATACATAAAGAAATGTTTTAGAAAAGTGTTGAATGAATTCCACAAGAATGAAATGAGAAAAATAACAATGAAAATTTGTATATGCAAGCAACAAGTTAATGATTTGTTCTAACGGGATTTTTAGTGAAAATTAACATTAAGAAAGAAAGAAAAAAAATCGGTAACAAATACATCTACAACAATAGATGATGTGCGTATGTGAAACGAGTGAGTACGGGTGTGAGAGAGAGTGTATGAATGCGTAAAAGTAAAGAAGAAGACGAAAAAATGATCGATTCTTCTCCACATTCGTAAGCTGTAGCTTTCTATTATTCTATTTTGTTTTCGTTGTCTATACGTTTCACATTTCACATCAGAAGAGTTTCTTTCGGCGGTGTTAATTAATTTCAAAATATATTTCAAAATTAAACTTGCTTTGGAGATACTTGTTTTGTGGTGTCCGTCGTCCGTCCATCGTGTTTTTGTTTAGACCTTTTTTAAACGGTTTCTTTTTCGTTTTAATTCGTTGTTGTATCTGTGTGATGTTTTTTTCGGTGAATTTGTATGAATGCATGCATGCATGTATTTGCAACAGTGAATGAAAAAAGGGAGCAACAATAACATAAACGTCATATATTGCTTGTTTATTGTCACCTGTCGTCTACCGTCAACCGTGTTCTTTGATTTTAAGGTGTTGTTGTTCTTCTTCTTTTAATCATCTTCTGTCAACTTCAACCTTAACGTTGTCGGTATTTTTTGTTTGTTCTTTTCTCCTGCTGTTGTTGTTTTTTTAAACAAGCAACAAACCTTAAAAAAGTAACAATAACAACAACACAAATTGATATCATAAAATACAAAAGCAACAACAGCAGTTTAGTCTGGGCTTTATAACTCTGATCCAGCTAGCCAAACAGCACACGTATAGTAGTTGTATTTTGTTTTCTCGGTTTTGACAACCTTCAGCCATTGTTGTTGTTGTTGCAATCAACCTGCTGATTGTATTTCGTTACCGCTTTCTTGACTTGCACACCGTAACAACAAGAACAACAACAACAACAATAACAAAAGCGACTTATGAACTAATGACGAACAACGAACTTCAAACGAGTCTTGTGTTTCGCCCCCCAATCATAGTTACTATTTTTGTGCCGTATTAATGTGACATTTTTATGCTCTATATTTGCGTTAAATGAGCAGTGTTCAGTTATATTTGTTTTTTTTATTTTTTTCCTTTAATTCATACAACCAAATTTCATATAATTTTTTCAAAAGTGAAGTAAAACTAAAAAAATATTTTCCAATTGTACAACAGCAAATGTTTTATTGGACCACATAGAAGATAGTGCGGTTTTGCTGTGCTTGATTGTGTTTGTGTATGCTCGTACGTACGTGTGTGTGTGTTGTGACGACAACTTTTAAGCGGCTTATTTACTGACATCTGGGAACAACA